AAATAACCTACAATAGAGTTTTACCAGGTAACTATGAATGAAATATTATTTTAAAATTACATATGTAGATTCATATTTGTAATAATTGTATCAAAATTATATTATAATTAATTATAATCAGAACTATTTTTGAAAATTTGATTAAAAACTTTTGTTGAACATTCTCGTCACATTCAATTAGTAACAAGCAATATGTTTATGTTTTACAGAAGGCAGCGGAATCCTAGAGATAGGTCGCGTCAGCGCAAAAGATATAGACAGTGAAGAGAATGGCAAGATTACTTACAGTATTCTTGATCCAAGCCCTGGTTATTATATTGATGCTGAGACAGGAGTTTTGTTTGTCAATTATAGTGCCTTACCAGGAAGTAAGAGAGATAAACAAATAGCTGTTATAGCCACAGACCACGGCAAGCCTAATAGAAGCGCTGTTGCATCGTTTCGAATAAGTACTGGAGCTTCATCAGAAATCAAACCATTTATCGCACAGGATACATATAGGTATTTAATGAAATAATATTTTTGAAATTACTCTTTATTAAGCAGCAAGTTTAGAATTTATTTATCTTATAAGAATGTGGTTAAAAACTTACTGTTTTTTTTTTCGTTTTTATACATATTCTGATCAATTTTATTAGTAAGAAAATAAACTTATTTCAATTAGACTAGACTAGGCAACTACTAAATATATACAAAAGTTCACAGTGTTAGTGGTTTATAAAGTATTTGTAATATTAAAATTATTATTTTTTAATTTTCAGAATCTCAGTTAGTGAAGACTCTGAAAAAGGATCAACACTTCTTCAAATTGGCGGAATTAATGATATTTTAAAGAAATATAATCTCGACTTCCATATAATATCTGGTAACGAAGGAGACATGTTTGATGTAACATCGGAAGGGACTTTGGTTTTGGTGAATAGATTGGATAGAGAGACACAAGATTCCTACATTATCGGCCTAGCTGCTGTTGAAAAAGGAAAAGTTATGTCATACAGTCAAAACAAATCGTCTATAACGATTTACGTTACGGTCACAGACGCCAATGATAACGCACCTGTATTTTCTACCAGTGATTTCGACCTTTCCGTCAGTGAGGACGTCAAAGTTGGTCATACGCTGACTCAATTGACGATTAACGATGCTGACTTATATGGAACACCTAATTCCGCTGTTGTATTTAATATTACATCCGGAGATGACAATAACTTCTTTTATATACATCCTACAACTGGATCATTAACAGTGAATAAGTCACTCGATTATGACACTGGTAAATCTAAACATAAGCTTATAATAGTTGCCTGTGATTTAGGTACACCATGTCTTTGCAACGCCGTTTTTATTAAGGTACAAATTCTTGATGAAAATGATAACACACCAACGTTTCCCGTAAGTGAATATTTCGAAACGATAGGTGAAAATGAACGAGTAGGAACTTCGGTATTCACGGCCAGAGCTACAGATTTAGACAAGGGCAAATATGGCATATTAAATTACTCTATAGAACCAATATCGAGTAATTACAATAGAAATGATGATTCTTGGAAAATGTTTCAAATAGACCCAGTTACTGGACTTGTTAACACTAATGCAGTCTTCGATTATGAACAGAAAAATAAATACGAGTTTTCTATTAAAGCTTCCGATCTGGGTGGTAAAAGCTCGTCCGTAAAAGTAAGAATTGATGTGGAGAGCCATGATGAATTTTATCCTCAGTTTACACAAAAGACATACAACTTCGGAGTGCCAAAATCTGGTTCATTGCCAGCTGGTTATATCATTGGACAAGCAACAGCAACAGACAAAGATAAAGGAATTGATGGTCGAATAGTATATCAATTATCAACTTCACATTCATACTTCAAAATTAACAGAACTACGGGTGTGATTATTTTAAAGAAGAAGGTGGATTCAGTTCAAAGCTTATTTGGTTCAGACAAATCTATAAGTTTGGTTATTACCGCTAGTTCTGGTAGACAAGGCTCCTTAACGAACAAGACTGCTGTAGAGATATTATTAGATCCATTAGCAGTTGTTTCTGATCATCCTAATATGATAAATGATACATCCGTATCGCAGAGCAGTGGATTATCAGATTGGGCATTGGGATTACTCATTGCATTTATATTTATAATTATTATATTCGCTGCTGCATTTTTGTTTTTACATATGAAAAACAAAAGACATAAGAAAGTTAATAAGCCTGGATTAAATTCAGAAGGAGTCGGGGCTACAAATAGCTATGTGGATCCGAGTGCTTTTGACACCATACCCATAAGAAATACCGGTCCCGTTAATTCTGCTAATCAATTTGCACCTCCAAAATATGACGAAATACCACCGTATGGAGCACACACAGCGAGTTCAAATTCTGGTGCAGCAACTACTTCTGAACTTTCCGGGTCCGATCAATCAGGTTCTAGTGGGCGAGGTTCGGCCGAAGATGGTGAAGACGGGGAAGATGAAGAAATAAGAATGATTAACGAAGGTCCCCTTCAGAGAGAGTCTGGTATTCACAGACAAGTCGGCGGCGTCGATGACGACAATCTTTCAGATGTTTCTGTACATAACACTCAGGAATATCTTGCTAGACTAGGAATTGTTGATACAGGGACCGGTGGAGGTGCTTCAACGTCATCCAGGAGAAACGATAATGTTGGTAATAAAGAGACTATGCTCCACCATGGTGCTATAGACTCTATGCATATATTTGATGAAGATGGAGCACACGAAAATGATATTACAAATTTAATATATGCTAAATTAAATGAAGTCACTGGAAGTGAAAGGGCCAGTAGTGCCGATGAAACTAGTGCAGCTGTCGATAGAGCAATGGCGTTAGGAGCTTTTTCAAGCGCAGCTGGTGAAAATACAGCTGTACCAACAGCTGGACCGTCGATGACGGGTAGTTTAAGTTCAATTGTCCACTCAGAAGAAGAATTAACCGGTAGCTATAATTGGGACTACTTACTCGATTGGGGACCCCAATATCAACCATTAGCTCATGTATTCTCAGAGATTGCTAGACTTAAGGATGATGCTGTCTCATTACAAAGTGGGAACAGTGGTACTTCAAGTGCTAAAAGTAAAGGAACTTCTATATCTGGAGGGAAAAGTGTTCCACCTCCGTTATTAACGACGGTAGCACCAAGAAGTTGCCCGGCCCCTTCCTTATCATGTAGACAACCACAGCACCTGTTGCCCAGGTCACCTATTAGCCACGATGTTTCTGGTGGTTTTTCGGCAGCGGCTGCAATGTCCCCATCATTTTCACCTTCATTATCACCACTAGCTACACGTTCACCATCGATGTCCCCCTTGGTAGGGCCAGGCTTGCCACCAGCACCGGGAAGTAGAAAACCACCTCACTCAACGATTAGAATGTAGTTATGTGTTTAAAATTTTGTATTAAATAATTATTTGTATATATTATATTAATACACGACTGTTTGCCTTATAAGTATTGATGTAATAGTATTTATTTAATGCCGATGTAATCGGATTAGTTCTTTAAATTAGCGTCATTTTGTGCATGTTTTTGTTTGTATTTTACTTCATTTGATAATGTGCTCAAAGTGATTATAAGTGCCTATTACCGATTTTACGGTAAATGTAAATAATGTCTTCATTCGGGTTATAACTTTAATTGTATATATTATAATGTATAGTCTAGTGCCTTGTAAAGAATTAAATGAAGACTGCCATGTTAATGATATTTGTAGCACAAACGAAACAGCTTTACTGTAAGCTATAAGACTACTTTAGGTATTCCAATTTAACTGTAAGCTTTTCTTGACTATTGAGTATCCTTTATTCATAATACAATAAAAAGTAATAAAAAACTCTCAAATCATTGTTATAAGAAAAATTAAGATATTTCTAGACCATCCATATTGATAGCAGGAATTATTAGTAGACATATATGTACTGTGATTTTCGTTTAAGTCGTATCGAAAACTCCTAAAATTATGATGAATAACTTCATTTAAAATAATTTGTATTTTATTAGTTATTTGGTGTTTTTGCACTCTTCTGAAATGAACATTACTTTTGTTATATATTTACATTGACAAATTATTTTAGATGGAGTTTGAAATATTGTAAATATAATTACTTAAGAATAAACGACTGTCTGAGATGTTTACACAAAAATAAACAAAATGTACAATTGGATATTGGTTTTATTTTCAGTTGAAAAATAGTGAAGACCACTTATTCTATGTCTTTAGGTCGTAATGATAGTACCTACTAATGTCTCAGTATTAAGAGACCGAGAAACAACGAACCCGATATCACAGTTGGATCTAAAACTACATCATATAAGTGAATTACGGTTATTATCAAACAGATACAAACATTAAATTATAATTTAATAAATTTAGCACCAATTATAATATATCCCAATAGTTGTTTGAAGTTATAGAAATATAAATATACCAGTATATAGGGACGTTAAATAATTTTGATAACATAAAGTAATACTAGCCAAATTTACAATAAATAGTGTTTACAAACTAGCTAGGAGATGCCAGTGTATTTACTTATTAAACAAATGCCTATAACTAAACATAAATAATATCTCACCGAACAAAAAAACATTTCAAAACATACTAAGTGTTAAAGGTATACTCGTGAATGTGAAACTATTGATTAATTCCATAATACTACTAATACTGTTACTTATATTCTTACATAATAATTAACACGTGATTGTTTTGATGCCATTCTAACCCTGGGTAATTTCACAGTCAACTATGAGTTTATATGCTCTTCGTTGATTATTTATGAATGAATATTGTTCTAATACAACACAGACAATCAAAACTGTTACTAAAGATACATTTATAAGCTTAAGAGTGTCCAAAACTGACTTAAAAAGCTTTCAAATCTTAGTTAAATCTAAAACAGTTACAAATGCCTAACAGTATATTGTTAAAAGTTTACAATGAGAATAGTATAAATGACAGTCTAACGTAAAGGCCCTTATAAAACAGGATCTATAATCTATTGGTATTGTGTAAATGCATGTCAATAATAACATCGTCCGATGCTATAGACTTGTTCCCGGGCGTTACTATACCTATTTCAAGTTCAGTGTTAGATGTCGGCAAACCATTAGGAAGTGATTGGTCCTGAAAAAATTAAAATAAATATTTTTCATTTTCAATATGAAAATCACATGCGGTACTTTTTTTTGTTGTTTCTAAGGTTTAATAATCAGTAGGATCTTTAAGTTATTTGGTCACATATAATGTTAAATTCTAACAAAGATATCGCTGTCTCGGAAATATTTACTTCAAAAATTAAAACCATAGCTATTATGGTATTTGTTTTCATATTTAACGTTCAATGTAGGATAAAAAGTAAGTAGTTTTCCACCAACTTCTATAAAAACTGAATAATAATCAAAACTGTAAGTATAATTCTGTTTCATTTGTCTATATTGTTAAGCTTTAGAGCATTTAAAAAGAATAATGAGACTGTTCAATACATTACCATAGAAGCAGCGTCACAGGCCATGAGTTCGTTTTTGGAAAGTTTCTCCACAACAGCCGCAGCGTAACAATCGCCAAGCATGTTGTTTGTCGTTCGTATGCGGTCACTGAAATTAAAATAATTCATGACTTAGTAAATATTACTAAAAATGAATACGGCGTATGCTATATATGTAAAGTTACTTTCATACAATTAATTTTATTACAATATTTTATTCAAAGTTATAGTCATACACAAGCCAATCCACAGCGAATAGCAGAGATACGTCGTGTGTAGGTGCGTCTACTGCCGCTAAAACTACTAACAGCAGCACCATCGCTGCTGACGGTACAGAAGCCGAAGACACTGACGCTGCCGTTGATGTTAGACTGGAAAAATGTAACGATAATTTGTTAATGAAACTGCTGCATAAGAGAAAAAGACTCATAATCATCATCATCATCAGCAGCCTATTGGAGCCCACTTCTGAGCAAAGGCCTCAACTCACGTTGAGAAAACTAGAGCATTAATCACTACGCTTTTTCAAGACGGATTATTGATTTCAAACTTATAATTTGAAATTATAAATACAAGTTTTCCCATATAAGTAGTACCTATTGGAATTAAATTGATTGTATAGATTTTGGAATATTGGAATTAAATTGTAAATAGCAATTATATATAAAATACAAATAATAATCGATCCCTTAAAGTTAGTAATAGGATAATGAATGCTTATTGTTGTATTCTTATCATTTATAAAATAATAATCAGTGTCAACACACGGTATTTAGTCACTGAATTTTCTTTCCCAAATATAATTACTTACAATATAGTAGCTAGTTGCGCGAATCCAAGATGCAAATTGTTCATCTGACATACGAAGACGCTAGCGACGGCCAGAAATAATGCTGTGCCATCCATGTTGATGTTACAACCGATAGGAAGGACGAAACGAGTGATGCGGGAGTCAATGTTCAACGGACCTTCCATAGCACGGAACGTCACTGGGAGAGCTGCAGCCCTGAGAAAGAGTTTTCCTTTAATGCCTATGAAGCGGGTAGTTTTATAATTTATTGACAATAACAATTACACGACTGGTATCTGTTTTGAAAATAAGAATTTGGATTAAAAAAACGTATGCTATTGAGAGTTATTCGTAAAAAATAAGCACTTTTCGTTAATGTAAGTTAAAACTTATGAGAAAATAAATAGATGTCAATATTGAAAAAGATCAATAGTAAATAAATAAATCGCATCCAAATATATTAATAATAATCATCTCAATCAATTTAAACGACGCTAAGAAATTTTATAGGTATGTAGAAATATAATCAAAAAGTTAACTTATTACATAAATACTCACGTGGAAGCCGTAGCTGACGCGGTAAGCATGGCTTGAGATAGTCCCCAGTAGAACTTATACGGGTTTCTTCTTAAGAAAATAAAATAGATTAACTGCATAACAATAAGTTGATAAAGAAATACCCCAACTGCGACTGTAGCGATAAACCATGCCAGTTGGGACATAACTTGGCCTGAAAGACATTTTGAATAAAATACTCGTAAATATCTTTAATTATTACCCTTCAATTCATTTTAAATTAAACTTTTGAAATAATACTTACCAACATTGCTTACACCAAGAATCTTTCCAGCTATCACGCTACTGACCCCAACAGGAGTAAACCACATTACACCAGTAACCATTTTCATAATAACTTCAAAGATGGCTTGGAAGAAGTCAATAACAACTTTGCCTTTCGGTCCAAGTGTCCCTAACAAACTTCCAAATACGAGACAAAAAAATACTAAGCCTAAAGTGTTAGTACCAGATCTGAAATAGTGAAGTTATATGAAAAATCATGTAACGATGAACAAGTATGCATTTATAAATAGAAATATAAAAATTAGTATTGCCAAAATATTACTAAGTTGAAAATTTGATTAATAACCTGTAGCTAATATCACGAACAAGAACTGGCTCGGTGCCATTTTCGGTTGCATTTTTAGCAAATAATGTCTTCGGTTCCGCATATACTGTATGTGCTTGTTGGAATGCAGCTTGAACAATATTGTCCGGGAAAATGTTTCTGTGAAAATTAATAAATTTTGCATATAAAAAAATCACATTCATTAACGTTGACGATATCAGCTATATAAAAATATATTAACATTTTATTACGAACCTGCCAATATCAAGCAGACTGTCCAGAATGCTATGGTCTCTTTTATTTTCAAATGCCATACCAAAGTCATCTTTTAACTCCGGTTTTCCTGGATGAATCATCACCGACAGAAGTATACCAAGGAATGCATTAAACATTGAGGTAAGTATAAAGTAAAGCAGTGTCCGAACTGCAATTTTACCGCTCATCTTAGCGTTAAGGCTTGCTGAGCCAGCAATGAGACTAGCAATGATAAGAGGCAGAATCATAAGCTTCAATAGTCTCATAAATAACTCTCCTGGATATGATATTATCATTAATGCATCTGGACCTAGGTGGTAGGGGCGAAGACCAAAACCTATAAAATTATTAATTATTATTATTGAAACAAACAATCAACTGACTACAAAAGATCAAATCTTGTTTAATGAAAAGAAACTTAAATTATAAATAGAGAAATAGGAAATTTACCAATAGCAATTCCAGTTATAACACCCGCCAATGTAACTACGAGCATTGTATTGTCTAAGAGCCATTTTTTGACGCCGGAATGATCAATGGGTGCTGATCGATCCTCTGTGGTCTTCGGGCCCCTATCTCCTGGGCCCATCTTCACGAACAGGTACTCTGAAAAACGGCCACTTTTCTCCATTACAGGAGCAGTACAACCCTTTGGTCCAGGTAACCGGACCTATAAATCTTGCACTTTCTTCTTGATACGTAAGTCTATTTTATTCGCTACTTTATATACACCTAAATACAAGACTACTCATATTTTATGGACTATTCATTTTCACTATTTTGTTGTTTTCAAATATTAACACAATTTTAACTTCACAACTCAGTACAAGACAATACACTTCTTTCAGGAAAAGATCGATATGCTTTTAACGCATTTGCAATTTCACTAAATGCATCCCTTTTCAGTGTACTTATACTACATCTACCTTAACGTGTAGATGCACTTCTATTTCTAGAACTGTTGTATCCACGTGACGCTTTTTGTGATACAGAGAGGTTTCCATTACTGCACCACCAACCATGGCTATGCCGTTTGCAACCCTTAAGTAGTAATGTAATGAAAATCGTTGTGAGAGTCGACAGCAAAACCTTTCCTAGTGCAACTGAGAAGCCATGCATAAAGATGCGCGCGCATCATCGATTGTCTTTCATTTACTTAGTTTTATTAAATTTCTATTGTTTCTTATTACATTAAAGGTATTGCGTCTTTGTGAGAAGACAGAGGTTATTTTTAAACTTTTCATATTGAGGTCAGCACATGATAAAGGAATTAAACTAGTTACTTTGATTGATTGTGACATGCGCAGTTGGCTGTAATTTTTCTCATGACTTAGAACAACTCAACGTGAATTATTAAGGGAAGAAGATGATTTTAAGTTATATCTAGTAGTATCTAGAAGAAATTTTAACTTTATAAACTCAAAGAGAGATATGTTTTTATAATTATCACTGATAACAAACTAACTCCGTACATTGTTTTGTATATTTTTTTATATATAATACTTAGTAGGGGCATATAAGTTTTTGTATATTTAAAAGGAACTATTTTGACTAGACAGTTCTGTAGAACAATATATTAACATTGAAAAATTTCATACCGAATCGTCATTGTCTCATTGTTTCGAACGCTATTATTCTTTTGGATTCGCCAACATTCTGTCATTTGCATAACAGTAGACAAACACACAAGTTTAAAAATAGTTACAGTATTGGCATGTGTAAAATTTTCACGTGGACATGTTTGAATGAAACGAATTCTTTTGGATAGGTACCACTCTTTTTATATTATTTTATATCTACATACATATGTATAATTTAGATGTTTCGATTTTTTTACAGCAATTACGATCACGGACAGACGAGATGAAAGAATGGTATGTTAATAAAGCACACGTTTTTTAAACATCTTCTCAATTAAAGCACTGTATTCCTTCGTGTTCAATGCTTTGAATATTTTTTTGAAGACGAGAACTTAAGTATGTAAGATTTAAAGTAAAAAATATCTTCAATTATGATGAAACACAAGTATATGTAAGTACTGGTGAATTTAGAATTCAGTACGTTTGAAAAAAATCCGAAGAAATCTGATAATTATTTGATATATATTTTTAATTGATTATTTGTTTTTTCTTGTATAACCTTCTATAACCTTATATTTTTGAAATATTTTTTAAAAAAATGAGTACTTAGACAAAAGTTTTTATGACCAAGGTTACAATTTTACAATTTATGTGACATAAAATAAACATACCCTTTATTTGTTTAATTTTGACCGATTTAATTCACTTCCAAGTTGAAAAACACGACCACTACACACTATATGAACTTTGTTTCTTTCACAAAATACCAAATACTAACTAAATAAAGGCTTCAAAATATCAGGAAGTCACTTCGTTTTACCGTATTAATTTAAACTTTATAATAAACTTTATTGACACCATATATTTCAATATCTTTTTCATATATCGTAAACCATATCTTGTTCGTAATGATGTCTCACAAGTGCATTTGGCAACTAAAAGACTGAACCAAGTGCAAGGCTATTTTAATCTCTGCACGTTATTGGTGTTTTATTGTTATATTGATTATTGGTGCAATATATTAATTTATATATACTTTTTTATATATAAATAATTTATTTGGTAACACCAATATGTAAGACGATTTTAATTTTATGTTATTAAAGTAGGTATTTCGTAATTACCTCTTTATTTGTGTACCTTGAATAAATTATTCACAATAATAATTAAATAAATCGTTTGTAAAAATATATTAAACAAATTAAATATGAGATTTTTATAAAGATATTTTTTTTAATTATGTAATGACAAAATTTGTTCAATGAAAGATATAATATGTAGTATCTTTAATAAAGTTGATATGTAGAAATATAATTAATAACATATTCGGATACTAGGAATGAGATGACACTTAACATTTCAGGAGCAAATGTTAAAATAAAGATGTAAAATTTAGATTAATGTTTTCATGTGTAAAAAAAAGTAATATCAAAAATGTTCATTGTAGTTGTCTAATTAATAATGATTCCTCAATACAGTGTTATTTGGTAAATGTAATGGGATAAATTTCTTTGGGACGTGGCTTGGCTTGGGTTTCAAAATATAGAGAGTTTATAAAACCATTTACGTACTTAAAGACAAATGTTTATTACACGTCTAGTCTACTTGAAACGATAAAATAGCTGGCCTTTCAACAACACATTTTAACTCCGAGTTGAAATAGTAAGATAAATGCCAGAGAAACAGTTACTACACTTTCAAGGGTTATTTTTTAAATATCTCATTGCGTCCTGAAAATTATACTTATTTTTCAGTACTATTGCAGTAATTTTTCTTTGCCAATAAGAACTAATATATGAAACTAAAACCCAAGAGCAACCAGAAAAAAATCCGCTATGAGATTATATATTATAATGCTTAGACTCATAGAATTAGGAGGACAGTTGAAATTAAAATAGTTCTATAAGCACTATGGAGATCGTTGGTGTCCACAAAATTATAAATTATGGAAATAAAAATATTGAAAAATTCTATACTCCGCCTTCGTTGATATCTAGTGAAACAAAAATATAAATGTTATTCGAAAACTTAAACCAAAGATTTTCCACATAGAAAACTCTTCTTACAAATACCTAAATGTCCAGCTTAAGTACTCATGTAAAATGTTTTGTGTAAGAGGTAATAATTTGAGATTAAAGTATTTTTGAGCAAAATTTTAAAGCGTTAACGATCCTCTTTATTTTCTGTTTGAGACATTGACGAATTTTGAGAGCCTATTTTACATACAATACATATGTATATTTAGCAAGAATGTCGATGTTATGACCTTTATTATGACTTTCTCAGGTTGCGTTTTTAAGAAAGTGACACTGTTTTACGTTAAAAAAATGTTTTACACTATGTTTGTATGTTTTACACTAAATAAAATTAGGAGTGGAGGTTTTGAAAAGGCAATTCATCTCCCACTCTTTACACATTTCCGGTGACGCATGTAGAAGAACCATGTTCCTTGATAAAAATATAAACTTTGGTTTATGTTGCAACTATCTGATCGGAAAGGCTGTACTTTATCATTTCAATACCTAACAGGTTTCGACATTATACATTTTATTTCTCATTTAAGCTGCTGGGGAAGACCTTGACAGACAGGACTTAATTTTTCGGAATGATTTTGCATTCTTTGAAGTTGTGTGCTTCTACACACATCCAAGAGAGAAAACTTTGTATAAGATTAGCTTCATTTTATGCGACATTGCTCGATTATAATTCAAAATTCAGGAAGTTTTTAAGGGAGACATAAAATCATCGTCATCTGTAAGTCGGTCTTTGTATTCAGATATTAATCGCAAATTCATTGGAGAACACCAGATCAAGAAACTGTTCTTATTATTAAAATTTGTATGATATATGATTCAAATTATATATTTATGACGAGAAGACATCGTAATACCCTGTGATATTGCAGTTTACTATCAATTGTTCCACTGACGTTGTAGGAAGTGTTTAAAATTTATTAACAATGGTCACTTATTTTTGAAGTGAATACGTCTTAGAGATTCTTCGATAAGTATTTAGACGGTTTGGTTTTCAATTATTATTTATAAGTTCTCCTAACAATAAATTATAAGCATATATTGAGCCTTCAGATTCAATGTATAAAATATTTGTTTTATTTACTTTTTTTATAACTTCCAAGTTAATGTATATAATTTTGATTGAATGATCGGTCTTCAATAATATAATAAAACAAAGAAAATAATATTTTTATATGTTAAGAGATTTTTAGAACGTTGCATAATATGTAAGTATATTATTTTTATACACAAAACTTTGAACCCTTTATGTAATATAAAACTTTTGTACTGTACATCTCTAAGATAGAACACGGACAACAAAGAAATAAAATGTTAACAGACTAAACAAATAATTTTCCAAATTCAACAATATAAATGTAATAAAAATATTTGAACAGAAAGTAAAATACTAAATATTATTTAAGTCACAATAAAATATGATAAAATTAAGAAAACATCTTGCTCTTTAACAATGATAATAATTCTTGAAAAAATCCCAAATTCCTTTACTATAGGAAAGTAATTATTAATATGAATAATATTTATTGTCACATCCCAAACAGTTTTATTATAGGTCGTTACACATCTGAAATGATCTCGTGACTTGCTAATAATTGGCTACTCGTGACGCTGTATATTAAACTTTTATTGATTGTTATTGTACTAGACTTTATGAGCAATATATGAATCGATTAGAAAGCAAATAAATGATAGAAAGGAACACTTATACATACAATTAATCATATATTATGTCAAGTGTGAAATAGCAACTAAAGACCTAATTTATGTACAATGTCCACAAATAGCGATATTATTTAGTCAGCAGACAGATTTAAGTTGGGCGTATTAAAAAAATATCAAAGGAATTCTTTTATTATCTATAAAACTTGTTTTTGGTTCCATTGAGGATTTAGAAGGCATGTTTACATTTTAAAAAAAAACTGGTTAATGATATGTACAATAAATAGACTTACTTACTATTGTAACGAGAACAGAGCTTCTGTTAATCAATGGAGGATAAATTTTAAGTGAACTCAACTAAAAGATGCTTAAAAATTGCGAGCAAAGAATGTAATAATGTAATATAATTAAAATAACGCTGATAATACTACTACAAAATAAATTACGATAAGCGCCATCTATGTTGCAACAGAAACATTGTAAAGTGTAAAGTTACTGACGTCAATTATCCATTGAATACTAGATGGCGTTGATGACAACAAAAATATAATATGTTTTTTAACAAAATTTTATAAAAAATTGAATAATAAGAAAAGCCAGGAGGGGAATTGATTGACTTTAGTAAGAGAATTCAAAAACTGAAATAATTTAATGATAACAAATGTGGTAATTTAATACTAAACCGATTTATTTATTTTTTTAATTAACCGTTAGCCGTAAACATATTATCCTTATGTAACATTATTATTGAAATGCAAGTGGGTATAAAAAATAAATTCAATATGTCGCGATGTTATAATAAAATCTCGCTTGGAATTAGTCAATGATGGAATATTCTTATGTTCTTATTCTTCTCATTGATTCTTATTACAAAAAGCGAGTATGAAAAACTTTGAAGAAAATCCAAGTGATTGTTGGAAAAATACAGAATCCTTTATAATGGCCTGCAAATACTAGGATAACGTAAAGTCGTTTTATTCGCAGAGTAATTTAATTTTACGTACATAAATCATCTTTGAGATATGTGACTGGCATTTTTGGAACACTGAGATCTACTGAGTATGAAAAAAACGAACCCAAGTAAGCTTTTTATATTTGAAATAAAATATAGAATGAATATTTTTTTTGGAACGTAAAGTGTCTATATACATATTATATGAAAAGGCATTTAATTCAATTGAAACAAAACTAAATAAATCAAAGTAAAAATTGCAATGATCTCTGTATCGAAACTTAACTTATTATGTTTTAAATATTACATAAAATGATTTTCTAATATCATATTTTATTATTCATTAGTTTTACCTGCCTGTAATATGAATTATTTTGGTAAGTGTCAAAATAAAAAGAAACAGGCGATATCTCTAACATATTTTAAATTGCTTACCTGTTCATCCAAATATTCACTGCAATTACAGATTCACTTACAGTTACATGTAACACTAATATATATAAAGTTTAATTTACCTAAATGTTATCAACATACTGTCCCATCGGTATTCCACATAGGTGAAGCAGGAGAACAAATAATACAGGCATTATATGCGTGTCAATGTCGATGACAACGGTGGGCAGTTCTACTCTTTTAACATATTCTGTCTAAGAAATATGATTATAATGAGCACAAAGATGTAATAAAATTATTACCGAATTCCCCTCTGGGATTTGGTCACTAATTTCTATGTCATGCCTTGCATCTTTATCTACATAGTACCTTACTTTGATAGCCTAAAATTATTATCCCTGACTCGTGAAACTGTTGTATCCAAACACATTAAGTTTAAATTTATTAGAACCTGATTTAAATTAGGTATTGTCTAACCATGAACCCCAAGTAAGCTGTAAGTGATTGAAAGTTGCTTGTTACAACTTAGTACAATTATAAACTGTTTGAAGTAACTTCTGTTTGATTTATTCAATCAAAACTGTAGAACGGACTCATCTCCTCTATATAATTTCCAGACTCCGTGTCTTTATATTATCAGAATATACTGAGTTCTTATTAAATTAATTTTATAAGTAGACCAAATTAATACTAGATATAATATTTCCAAATTATATTTTATAAAATTGGTATAATGCTATCCTAAATTCACGGGTCTTATATCTTTGTATAATACCTAAAAATTGTAGAATGACCCATTGCGTCCCCTGTTCCTCGACATCGTGATTGTAGTTTTGACGACGCTCAACGATGCGTTTCCTTTACTGAATCAGATAGTTGATAGCAGAATAATTTAGTGATAAGAATATTTATCAATACACGATTATTTGTTTCTCTTTTATTCATTTTAAACAAGGAAGAAGACGACCTAGAATAAATCCAAGTTATACAATATCAATTCTGTATTTAGCAATCGTAGAATTTATGAAAGACATGATACATCTTTTAAATAAATTATTTTCTTTTTAGATATAAAGGTTGAAAGCGGAATAATTTATAAATAAGCGAGTATCATTCAAATGAATGTCTCACTTTATATTATATTGAGGAAACGGTAAGAAAATGTTTTCTGTTCCAAGATAAAGGAGTTTTTCCGAACAAAATGTCTATATCATGTGAAGGGCAATGAATGTTGAGTTTTCTTATCTTTAATAACGTGTGAGGAGCGAACAGCTGTTAGGATATTTTTCATACATTTTCGTAACGCAATTTTAATATAACTTACAAAATCTAACACTCTCATACTTTTTTATTTGTTGCGTTTATTTTTAGTATGGATGAAAAAAAGTTTATCAATATTTGAATTATAATAACATATCGATCTTTTAACGTTCTGTCATTTCAATATATAATTAGTAACTGAGTATAAGTGTATAATAATATAATAAATATGGTGCCCTAAATAAATTATCTTTTACATAACATAAAAGCACGAGAGCAGAAAAGAGGCATTACAAATGTTTTCTCCCAATATAAATGGTATACCTTGACGTGAAAGATAAAAGAATTTAAATCATCTTTATGCCTTAGTAGAAACGTACTGAAATTTCTATTCTTATAATATCACGAGGAAAAAGTCTGGATTCATTTTATTAACGTCATTCTGTACGTCATTTGGGATAACTAATACACCAACACTATTTACAAAGTAATAAAACAGATATCTAATTTACTAATGATTTCTCTTGTTCAATATAAAATGATTCATTTAGCCCTTATTTTTTATCAATTTGCAGGAAATTAATGCGATAATTATTGTCATATTGTTAACTGTCGGTCTTCCTGTACTGATATGATTTATGATACACTAGCTTTCCGCCCGCAGCTTCGCCGCGTGGAGTTCGGTTATATCGCGTTTCCAAGAGAACCTTTCAAAAGTCTGGGATAAAAACTATCCTATGTTCTTTCTCAAGGTCAACTCTATCTCTGTACCGAATTTCATTAAAATCAGTTCAGTGGTTTAGGCGTGAAAGCGTAGCAGACAGACAGACAGACAGACAGACAGACAGACAGACAGAGTTACTTTCGCATTTATAATATTAGTAGGGATGGTTAACCATGTAACGATAGTCGGGCGTTTAACATTTTTTATTGATGAGTGGTCATTAATTTTTAATACATTACTGAGTATAAAAAAAATATGATATCCCAATTCCTAAATCTTCTGCAATATAGCTCGTAGCATATAAATGGGATAATGTATCTTCTTAAATTATAAGTGTTGAAGAATTGTAGGTCATTATCTCTTAATATATGTACATTATAAATTAGTTCAAAGTTCAGATGCCCTTGGTTATTTATAAACAAATATACATACGTTTAACGCACGCATACAATCGAATATACATTCTAAAATATTTTTTACTTATTAATTATTTGTATTAATTGCATTAATAAGTATAGCATATTATTGTTATCCAAAGTTTATTCTTGTTTCATTAATTATTATTATTTTATTTGTAGGAGAACTATTTTGTATTTTGAGCCTTATAATCAATCATTTGAAATATTTCGATTTTCTAAACTAAACCTAGTTTTTAAATTACTTCTGCATATACACAGTAATACATTTATGATCATATTTACTTTTTTATTCATAAAAATAAAAATTATATACATATATTTTTACTCAAAAATATTATATGTATAGCTACATATTTCTTCAAATGTGAATCATAAAAATTTATGAAACAATGAATGACAAACTAAATATAATTATAATACTAGCTATTCAATAAACAGAACTAAATAAAATGCATACTCCAATAAATAATGAATAGTATTTTTCTACTATTACTTCTTTGAATAGAAAAATGGTTCTTATTCACATTGAAATAAATGCAATAATTTCTTAATCAGTTTTTACGCAAACATTACTAAAACCTACCACACTCTCATCAGTTATCGCCAGTTCAAATGACAATAACACAGGGTAAACATCTTTACAATGTTTAAATTATTGTCTTTATTTATAATAATATACTTTAAAATAATATTATGTGAATGTGGTGAGATTTATGAAGTTAAAAATAAAATTACATTAAAACCAGATGATGATTCAGAATATTTTGGCTACACTGTAGTTTTGGATTCGAATATGTATGTAAGTTTTATTGTCAGTATTATTTTTATGTTACAATAATCTTGGGTACTATGCCGCCTAGTCATAAATGTCGTTTTTCTAAATAATTTAATTTTTTAATTATCATATACTAACGAATATATAAGTTGAACAAGTTGCGTTGTATTTGTGTATAAGTATTTTTAACAAATTGTAGTTTAATTGTTGGGGCGCCCAAAGCACGAAGCAAACTGGCCAAAATGATGGCCACAGGGCAGATTTACAATTGCAAAGTACTTGGTTTCGATGTTCAAAATGTAACATGTCACCCTCTCGGAACAGATGGAACAGGTGAATATAGAAAAGATAAACTTATATAAAAGTCTTTAAAGTTTTAATAAGGATTTTATATTAGTTTAATTTTTCATTTTCATAAAATATGGTTATGTATAAATTGGATGTATTCAAAAGTATTGGTACCAAAAAAATATGTAAATTCTTTTATCAGTGTAACACAAATTGATTGTAAACTTGATTTAAAAGCAATTTATTTTTCCATTTCGTATGTATTTCAGCTCAAGACGCTATATTCGGACGGTTTGCTGGTTATTCTGATTTCTTCAGGGATGATATGTGGTTTGGAGCCGTAATCGCTTTGGTTCCCAACGGAAAGTTATTGGTAACAAAGCAATTAAATCATTTACTCCTGAGAATCTTCAAAGATTACTTGTGGCTTATAAACGCGAAATATTGTTCATGACCTGTTGTTTATTTTATTTTTCTAAGATTATTATCAATTGCTAAATTGTATCCAGGCCATAACGATGTCATATTAAATTAAAGGAAATTATCATTAATTTTAAGTAATACTTAGTTCTGTCGTGTGTATATTTAAAAATGTATATTTGATTTATTTCATCTTGGCAGTCTTTTTTTAACTGTAGAAAGTTTAAAGGTCAGTTTTCAAATAAGAAACTTCAGTTTCTGTTACTGCAAATTTGGTAACTCAAAGTCAAAGTTTATTTGTGGGAATTTTAATATGATTCCAAACTCTGCCTTAACGTATTTTCTTAATTCATTGCGAATGTTTGCAACACGTATAAATATAGAAACATAACCTCAATTTAATATTAGTAAAAAAATGTATAAGCACAGCACCTATTTTCTAAACTTTTCTATGCACTTGAGTTTTAAGTTTCATTAAATCAAATCCATTTCACTCATGCGATTTATAATAATAAAAACCGAACGTGATTGACTAAAGGCGTGATCTTCTGTGAGAGGGTGGTACTTTCCCGGTCGTTCCAGGTCGTGGTCGAGCTGTAGTATTTTGACTACAGCTAGGCCGTACCACCTTTACGTTATTACATAATTTTTATTTAATACATCATAATATAAAAAAACATTTCAGATTTGCTCACCAAGATGGACAAATCCTTACAAGGATACACATTTACTTGCAAACGGTGCGTGTTACATCCAGGCCCAAAGAAGAGCCTTGAGTCTCCTTCCACTAAAAGACATGAGTAAGAGATTATATTGCAATTGTTATTTAATACGTAATATTATATCTTTACCACAAAGGTTGGTTAGACGCCTGCTTCATTCAGTCGTCTAAGTGATATTATTTACTGCTATTAATTTATAAACCAATTAGTAAGGAATATCGAGATAATTAAATAAGTAAATATAGTTTGTTATCAACATATCAATAAGGTTTAATTTTACTTTTGAAATGTTGTTTCTAGCCCGACAAGCGTTTATGACACAGGGTTTAAGGAAAGAGTACGGTGAATATGGAACCCATCTAAATTTTTATGCTTACGGCCAAGCGGGTTTCTCAGCTAAAGTAACAGAAAACAATAGCGTTATCATTGGAGCGCCAGGCCTCTTACAATGGACGGGTATGAATCATTATGCAATTGCAAATAGTTTTCTCAATATTGGAAGGAAAAATGACTCATTCACATATATATAATTTATTAGTTATTCTTTTCATTACTATAGTTAACTGTCATAGAAATCCCTCCAACATATATTTCACACTAAATTAATCATATGAAAATGAATCATTTTAAAAATTATGATTATACTTCTATTCTTCTATTGACGAAACCTGTGTGGAGAGATTTTCATATTTAGTTCTTAAGAGAAAAGACATATAATTTGTTATTCTAAAAATCAATTAATAATTTGAAAGAATTGTATTTATAAAATCTTCATAAACTTAGATAATGCTTGATAAATTATTATTTATTGCATTTAAAGGCGGAATCGTGGAATACAAATATTACCCAGATCCAAGAAGTGTACTTTTTGGTTTGCAACCTATTACGAATCCGTATTACACACCAGATTTGGGGCCAGATGACTACTTAGGTAATTACTGATATAGCTATGAATATACTGAACTTGGTATTGGCCTTAATTTATCTTATTTATGACCTTTTCAGGATACAGTGTGGAGTCTGGAATATTTGAAAAAAATGGGAGGACATTGTACGTAGCTGGAGCTCCAAGATCCAAAGGTGGTTATGGTCAAGTAAGAATGATTGAGATACTTTATCAAATAACTAGTTTACGCCCGTGACTTCGGCCGCGTTAATTTCGTCATTAGTAATATTTGTACATATAATAAAATTTTACAAAGATTGGTTTTTAAGTATATGTATTGGATAAATCTTTAATATTCAGAATAGTTATGAATGAAAATATGCCAATAATTTTATAACGCGTGTTTTAATGTAGGCTATGCTGGGTTTTAAACCTGATTTCTGAATCGAATAAATAGTTATAAAAGAAAACTATGGGCTGTTATTACTAATCTCGTGGATTTTTCAATCGTTTTTATCTTTCTGAATAAATTCTTTATTATTAATTTTAATTTAATCTTGATTATATTTTGTTAGTCATATACCCATAAAGTAATATAAAACTATTCAGAATTGACACAAATTATTTTCCTATATTTATATTGTATTACTTTAAAACTACCCCCAATTTCGGTTTCTTTGCATCAACCGTGATCACGGGCAGACGAGATCTAGATACAGTATTAAAATAATAAACAAACGCAAAATATACACGAATGTCTTAGTTCTGTTTCGAGTAATGCACTCGTAAATATAAGATATCGTAGATGTTGTGAAATTAAACATTACTACATATATTAACGTTTAATTTTATAGGTATTAATAATTGAGCCATCGTTTAGAGAAAACGGACCTCTGAACATTAAAGCCAAGTTGATAGGTCATCAGCTGGGATCCTACTTCGGCGCCAGCATGTCATGTACTGATATAAATGGTGATGGTATATCGGATTTGTTGGTGGGGGCACCAAATTTCGTCATTCACGATGGAGGTCTTCATTACGACCAAGGGGCGGTGTTCGTATATATAACAGAAAGTCAGGTTTGTTAATAAAACAGCAAGATTTTAAAATATTTAGTAAAACTGTTGAGAATCTGATATTCTATTTCTATATTTTTCTTCTGTTCTATTTCGAACCTTTTCTAGTTCTATATTAAAAATAATTATTTTTAAATTAGTTTGTACCAATTTCAAAAAATGCCACTAAATATATTGCTGGGTTTTTGATCAAACTTACATTTTGAGTCTCGGATATATGACAATACCTTTCCTATTATCAAATATTATTTTTATTTAAATGTCTAAATGCGAAACTGTCAAACAATTTAGGAAGATAACTATTTTAAGTAAGATATTATAATATAATTTTAATGTAATAAATATCTTTGTTAAAGGAATCAAATTTCACTCTGATTGAACATGCTTATGTGTTTGGATCAGCACGAAGCGGATCGAGGTTTGGAAGCGCCATCTCTAGTTTAGGAGATATAGACGGGGATGGTTACAATGGTATATAACACATATTTAATAAATATAGATTTATGTTATATAGATGTACATATAAGTCAGTGGTGGCCTAGTGGTTAAAGGGCTCGCCTCTAATTACCGACGGCGCGGGTTCGATCCTGGCCCGGGCAGGTACCAATGTGATTTTTCCGAGTCATATGTACTTTCTAAGACTATTTAGACATCACTGATTAATTTTGATTCCCAAAAGAGGGTTGATGTCAGGCAGGCGGCCGGTCGTAAAACAAATAGCCAAAACTATACACAAAATGTAAGGCAGACCCTGGCTATAGCTGGGAAATTGCCAGGTAGAAGAAGAAGAAGATAGATGTACATATATAAAAAAATATTTAAACAATAATATATACCGATTTCAGTATTGAAATATGTCAACTAATATACATAAATGTAAATGTGTAAATTGTTAATGACAATAATTTAATTTTAACTCTGATATGAAATGCGATGAAATATTATAAGAAAAAAACAAAAAAAATATATAAAAAAAATGTGAAGCGAAATTACTATAAACAAAACTTGAGTTATTAATTGTTTACACTTGATGTAAATGGTCACGTCCTGAGATAGATCAAAGATCACTTCTACACGTGGATGTTAGTTAGTTAAAATGTTATATGTATTATAGGACTGTCATATCAGAAGAGATGTTATTATTAACGTAGTGAATATAATCGTTTCAGACATAGCTATTGGCGCTCCCTGGGAGAATGATGGGATCGGAGCAGTATACATTTATCGTGGGGGCGCCGATGGGTTAGTCCAGCCATTTGTACAAAAAATTGTTGTTGAAGAAGCGAGAAGTTTTGGTGTATCGATTTCCAAGGGCGTAGATATAACTAACGACAACTGTAATGGTAATATATAGAAAATACTTTGTTAATTTTCAATATATAATCCTGTCAAATTGTGTGTTATAATTAATATATAATGAATATACATATAAAGAATTTGATTGTAATTAATATATTTATTTAGTTTTTTTGTTGTAATATTATAATGAAATTGCAAAATTAAATGAAAAAGAAAAATGAGCTGGTACAAATACATATATGCCTTGCCGATAGATCAATATGAATGTTCAGTCAAACTTTATCATAACTTTTCAGAGCTAGCTGTAGGCGCTCTCAATTCCCGTACAGCATATATTTTCAAATGCATACCAACAATTCATGTGGACGTTTCTATTAAAGTCCCGGATGCAATGAACTTGCAACAAAACGCTACCAACTTCACTGCTTTGTTCTGTGTTAATGCACGCTCTAGTAAATTGTGGCCTCATGTGAAAATAGGTAACAATGGAACAATTTTTAATTATTGCAAAAACAACAATGATATTTGATAATTTTTAATATATTATACTTGTACAGACTTTATAGGCAGAATAGTTATTGATCCGAAGGAAAACAGGGCAAAGTTAAAAGACGACACTGAATATGACATCACAATTAGACCAGGACTTGAGATTTGTGATGAACAAATTGTAGAAGTGACGGTAACTTTAACATGTCTTATAGTAGAAGTTATCCTGAAGGAACTTTATTGCAATGTTTAATATAGAAATAAAGTTAAATTTCATTTGAAATCTTAAGCGATATCTGAGTAAATGTATTAATACATAAACTGTTTAATAATAATTAATATAATTTATAACTAAAATATTTTTTACAGACAACAGCAGATTTGTCTAAGCCAATATCCATGAAATTCAATTTGGAGGTCAATGAATATGCGGGTAATTTGTTTAAAAAAATATTTATTTGCACGAAACTATAGTTTTTGTGACTATATATATTCAGTTTGTATGTGTTTTCATATAATATTAAAAGAGTCTTTGTGTTGCATATTTTAGCTGTTACAGTAGTTTGAGGTTACACGTTTTCTATTTCTTACTACCTTCAGTTGCAATGTATACAAATAGTTTAAGTAACAGAAATAAACAAACTACATATTTTACAAACAATCTATTAATAATTATTATTTTGATTTACTATTTTCTCAGATACTTCGGATATGCAGCACGCCGCTAGACTTGAGGAAAACTCTATTTTAGAAACTACATTAGATATTCAACTAACGAGAGATTGTGGAGAAGATCTCATTTGTAAGCCCTTGCTAGAAATGAATTTGGAACCTTTAAATAGGTGGGGATTTAATATATTCGTGATCCATGAAATAATGAATCTGAATATTGAATACTGAACCTATAACTGTATTTTAGTCCATACGTTCCAGGGTCAGAACACAGGCTGGGATTAAAAGTGACGGTTTTGAATAAAGAGGAGCCATCATATGGGGCCAAAGTTCATCTCATTGTTCCTTCTTCACCGAAGCGTCTCCCAACTGAATGCTCTTTACAAAACTTAAATATAACTTGTATTCTCCCGGCACCATTGCCAAGAATGAATTCAGTAGTATATGAAATAGAATTAGAATATGTACCTATAGACAAAGCTGAAGATGTATTGAAAATTAAGGCTAGACTAGAAGATCCTCTATTTGAAGATTCTGATATAGAACGGATATTCCAGGAGTTAGAGATTGTTATTACACCTAAAGCAAACTTTGCCGTTAGCGGGTAAGCAATTTAATATTCTTGTTTTTAACCAAATTCGTACTATGCTTACATTAAAAAGACTAAAATAGAACACGAGATCTCAAAAGTATATTAAAATATGTGACGATTGGTTAAAAATCTCTAATCATAAAAATTCCAGAAAATCATTACCCAACGCGACTATAGTAGTGACAAGAGACAAATTTCATGGGGACGAAAATATAACATTTGTTCATCAGTATGAGGTACATATTATATTATATCAGAGTTATAATATTTAAATATAAAAAAAACATCCCATAATTTAATTAGTTTTCACAATAAAAGTTTTGACCAGATTTAATAGAAGTAGTAGTTTTCTTCTATTAGGAACTAAACAAAATATCATCATTTTTATTTGTTTTTTTTAATGACTTGCACATGTTAATTACATTTTTTTTAGATAATGAATTGGGGACCATCTGATTGGTATCGTTTGAGAGTACAAATAATTTTATCCGAAAAGGTAAGTCTAATAAAGCAATAACGACACGGTGATACATTACCAATATATTTCATATATATAATCTGCAGTTATCACTTGTAAGACCTTTTTCAATGGGTAAAAAAAACGTAAAAGTATAGGTCATATTGTTCAAAATTTAACCTAGTTTGATATATTAATTCAATTCTAAACACTGCCAGGTCAACATGTCGACTCGACTTAAAGAATGTTTGGAACTAGACCGAGTAACTCATTGCGAATGGATGCTTCCAGCAAAAGTTTCTTTACCTGTGGTTTTACCTCTACGCTTTGATTTACATGACTACGGTAAATTCATCAGTAATTCCATCAAATTGAAAAATATTTTAATCACATTTCCAAAAACGATATCGATTATAATAACCAAATTCCAAATTGATATATTTTATATTTCTATTTAGGTGAATTCTTAGAAGAAAATGTTATGTACAACATCACCTCTACAATGACCATTCTATTGGAAAATCAGAATAAGTAAGTATTTAATGGAATTTATTACATATATAAACTTTACCTATAATTTTACAAATTTACCTTTAACTTTTTTTTATGACACCGAATCGCCTTATATGCCTTGACATAGAATTCATAACAGATTCTCATTCATTAACAGATCTTTAATAGATTCACTCTTTTATAGGTCTGTTTCGACGACCACAACTTTGATTTTGGAGCCTGAGCAACCGTATTGGCCAGTTATTGTTGGTTGCATAGCAGGCCTCCTTCTACTTTCTGCTATCATTACAGGATTTTATAAAGTAAGTTTTTTTTTATAGATATGATATAGTTTCTACAGTTCCATTAATATTATCATTGTATAAATTATGTTGTGTTCCGTTACATATGTATTTAAATTCAATTACATAATTTTAACGCTTCTTAAAGTGTGGATTCTTCTCGAGAAAAAGAATTGAAGATTTTCAAAGACTTCAGGAACAACAAGCTGATGGAGCTTCTACTTCAGATGCGAATATTTCAGTTGGTTCGCTTGGCGAGAACGATAAATCAACACAAGAATTGATTGCTGATGACTCAGATTGAAATATGTATTATTAAAAATATGTCTATAATAATTTTAACAAAATACTTCATGATATCGAGAGTTTCATATTTTATTTCCATATTTCTTTAAATTTATGCTACACTAACTTTTTCTAGTCCTATATTAACAATTACTTTTAAGTTAGTTTTTACAAATTAAATAAAAACAGGAAAGTGTGTCGTTTGGCTTTTGGTAAAAAAAACTTACATTATGAGTCTCAGGTATATAATCTTTCTTATTATCAATAATTATTAATTCAATTTTCATGCCTTTGAAAATTTTACATCTTGTTTTATACTAATCACAGCTGATCATTAAAAAAATTATTGCTATGTCTTCAGTTCTGACTAATTATTTTCTTGTATAATTTATTTATGTTATTAATCTAAGGTAACGACACCGTTGAGACTATTTTTGTTAGGTTTATTTTATTTATGAAAAAGAAATTGTTTACGCAACACTTATGCTTACTAGTTAAAGTTCGTTCAAATCAATTGTCCTAGTAAACGCAAGGTTTAATTATTGATATTAATAAGTCTGTTATTCACCATATCTGTAGCTAATTTGTACAAACGTGTGTCATAAATAGTAAATTTGGACAAACATGTGTATTGAAAATAATTATACATAAAAATATAGCTGTAATGTATTATTTTATTTGTTTTTTTTTTAAATAAAATTAACAGTTTTTATGTGTGTTTTTAAGAGATTTAACGAAAATTGCTCTTTACTTAAGGAAGACAAAACATAATTTTATTTCACTTCTCGAAAATAACATTTTATATATGTATATAATTTACTTGTTTGTGGTTTTGTTAGTGAAACTGAGACGGTTGCTAAATTATAAAAAAAATAATTATTTATCAAAAACCAATATATAATGTGCATTTTTTAAAATTATTATTATTTTGGAGCCATATTTTCAATACTGGCTTAATAGTTTAAATATCAGACCGAGTATTTTATAACGTCATTCACAAAACTATTTCGATTGAAACTTAGTGGAATACATTGTTGGCTAATAATAATTAATATATATTATCTATTACACCTTTGACTCTATTTAGAAAAATGCGATGACAGCTATTATTTAGAATACCTGTCATCAATAAAATGACTATATAAAAGGCGTCACTATGCCTGCATGTTTAGTTCTTTAAGTTTTAGCGAACCACAAACACGATTTTTGTCAGCGGTTATGATTGGTAAGAAGTATTGTTAAAATCTTTATGTACATATGTGTAAAACTAACCCTATTTTTTTATTTTCATAAAATATAATAAAAATTATCGTTTTATTGATCGTTTGTGGTTTATGATTGCTATTAAATTAAAATAATTATTCGATTAACACAAGTTAAAATATTGTTTACTATATGTTTAACATATTTATTTATGACCATATTTTAATAAATAAAACACAAATATTATAATATCCAACCAAAAAATATACAATTTCGCTGCATTTCATTTCTTCAGTCATGTCAGTAAAAAATATAATTTTTAAATATTTATCACTAAAATTTTGTTTTAATTGAATCCTATCATATTTACTAAAATTTAAAAATTATTGAATGTTATAATTGGAGATTATTATTCTATGAACATTTAAAATTTTACAATGTTACAATAATCAAGCAATTAACTACATGTACTTGGAAGCGAACGTTAATTTTATAATTATTAATGCGCAACAATGTTAAGAAATACAAATTTAATGATAAGTTAACCGAAATAAAAATACTTTAAGTATTTATAATAACTGCAATTAAATGTCGTGTTTGCCCCTTTAGGTCTTGTGCAACATATTACCATATAGTTTTTACTTAAATTGGTACAATATCACGTGAAGTATATAATTATCAGTGATTATCTTATTGTTTGTTTTCATATTTATTATTTGACGTTTACTTTCGCAGTGAAATTAAAATTAAAATGGAGAGGTATTTATTAGTAGCAGTGGAATAAAAAATAATGGAACAATCAAAAATAATGGAAACAAAAAAAATACCCCCAGCTGTTGTTGTTTTGTAAACAGCAAAGAAAACTTTAAAAAAATAAAATAGGGTTCTTTTAATTAACTAATATTCTTGATACATTCAGCGAATTAAAGTTTATTTTTTATAAATAAAGGAATAAGGTTTGTTGCATTTAATTCTGTAGTTTTGTAAAACATTGATATTATATTAGACTAGTGTTAATGTATAATTCAATAATTTATTGTCTAATAAAAAATAATTTAAACTCAATCATTTGTTGATATATGTATTTAAATATATATTAATGCAAGAGTTCCGACGGGTCTGCGGAAAAGTTTGATAATACTGAATTGAATTTAAAAAAAACTGTACATAGTTTTTAGATACGAAATGTTGGTGATCGTATTATTATTACATCAATCGCTATATTGTCTATCTATATCCCAAGTATATTTTCCACTATAGCTTCTATCTCAAGTATATCTTCTTTTATCTTCTGAATCACTATACATATATATTGAATAGCTCACTCGACCGTAGAAAGATGTTTAATTATGACTATGAGACATGAGTACATGGTACTAGAGGTTTTACTTAAGTTATCAGGTCTACGTAAAAACATTTTACAACTAAGTATTTTGTACATAAATGAATATTTAATTAGAAAATTCGTTTTGTGTCATATGGAATCAAAGTTTTGTGAATTAATATCTATACACATTATATACGCATACAATGAGTATATTGCTCCTGGAGCACAGATTTTCTTACACGTTATGAGCTATAGCAGATATTTTTTGTATACCTCCTCTTATGTAATAAGGATCGGGTACGATATTTTCATCAAAGAAAAATAAACTCTAATTGATTGTGTTCAAAATTATCTTTATTAACTAAATATAAAAAAGTAAATTATATAAACTATATTAAAACGAGGTTGTAATGGACAGAATCCCAATTCTCTATTGGTAGAACACGATATTTTTTTATTATATATTCTCCTTTAGTACCTATTTGATTTAGAAAAATTTACATTTAAATTTTTCTTTATTATTATATTCTATTGAATTAGAATATTTACTTATACATACAATTCAATTCAAAATTCCATAGATCAAATAAAGTATCTGGATATGCTTAACTGTCACTTTTATTCATATTAAATTTTATTCACAGCCATGCAGTTAATGGATAAATTTAATAGGCGACTTTTGTTTAATAAAAACAAAAGATTTTATAATACGCTATCAAACATGAGGTATGTATTATTTTCATTTTTGTTATATTTTTTGATTTCCGACAGTTGTTTTTTTAACTTCATATAAATATTTTCCACAGGCAAAAATAAAAATTAATAATAATTTACTGATTGAAACAAGGAAAGAATACTGAAAATTCTAAACTATTTAAATGAAATCTACAATCATTACCTTTTTTATTTCAATACATTATATAATAAGCTTATGATACCTTTTTGACATGCGTTTGATTTGTAAAGAATAATAAAAATTTCTTAGTTTTCTTAAATTTCCTAAAAAAAAAATGGGAAGCAAGAAAACATTACTAAGTTTTACGGATTATTTTTCATGGTCCGATATTATTTTCTAGAAATTCTATATTATTTTCTTCAGGGCACATTTATGCTTTTGAATCGTCGAGTATATTTATTACATTTACGATTATGATCATTTTACATTTAATTTATTTAATATCAATTTATTTTTTGCTCAATTAGATATGGTATACATATTATTTTTATGAATTCAGATTTTGTATCTTAGAGTTAAAATTATTAGATCACCACCACACTCTGTTACGAAGGAGGATCTGAAAACGAAAACATCGTCAGTTGTAGACTTTTACAATGGAAAAATCTATCTTTATTACTGGAGGGACCGGCTTCCTTGGAAAGGTAGGGATTCATTATGGTTGCTATTACTTTTAATCTATTAATTCACCTTAACCTTATTTTTACACGTCACAGGAAATCATTATAACTGTAACAGACCTTGTAACAGTCCTTGAAATTTTAAAATTTCCGCTCCACATTTACTAATTATACGTCGTTTTAATTACAATACACCTATGCTTCAAATTCCATCTCATCTTCATAATATTATTATTATCAGTTTACTTTTACGCTCCACTTATTACTAAAATCATAATTAAAAATGATAATACAGTAATCTTTTGTCATTTTTTTAAGTCTAAAGTTTACCTAAAATTTTAAAACAAGAAATTTTTGACGGTTAAATGTAAGGTCGGTAAATGAGTAATAGCAAAACAATTTTCGGTAATAATCTATATATAAAAAAGAAAGTCGTGTTAGTGACTCCACTTATAACCCAAGAACGGCTGAACCGATTTAGCTGAAAATTGGCAGGGAGGTAGTTTAGAACCAGGAAATTGCAATAGGATACTTTTTATCCCGTTCGACAGCATTCCCGTGGGACTTGACATGAAACGTCAAGTCCCACGTATATATATATATATGCCTATGATATTTTTCTACTTATTCAAAAAAAGTACAACAAAAATGTACAAACGCCAAAAGCATTACCTACAAAACATCTGTTCATTTAATTAAAGTACATAGAAAAGCAAATTCTTGACCAATTTCATTTAAATAAATAATAAATATTAATTTTGTAATATGTATATGTATATATACAGGGTGACTGGTGAATTACTATCAATATTTTAGGAGAATACTCGGTACATGATTCTCATTCGAATTATGTAAAAAAAATAGGTACTTAATTTTTGACCAAATTTCTGTATAAATAAATAAAGTGTGGACACGTTCCAAGTGTTCCAAGTGTGGACGCGTGCGGCGGCGTGCTGAACAACACCACGCCGCCGCGCGCGAGTGTGTGTGTGTGTGTGTGTGTATACCTAATCTGTAGGGTGTTCACACGATGCGTAATTAATGACATAACTTTTGGTTAACTTTACTTAGAAGTTTATTAATATTTATGTTATATTAATTTTTATTTTGTCATATATGATCGTCAAATATCACGTCCTCAAGTATCGATAGTAATTCACCAGTCACCCTGTATATTATGGCTTCATTTAACCAACATTTTTTCTTAATAATCAAATGTCACGCGTAGATGTTGCATCCACAAAGGTCAGCCAGTAAATAAATTTTTATCCAAAGAGTTTCTATATTCTTAGTACATATATTCTTGTACAAGTTTTTCTCGTTCGTGTTAAAGAAATGTATATGAGAATCGTGTTATATTTTCGTACCTACATATATTAAAGATTCATTGCCGGAACTGGATTCAAATATTGTATTGTGTAACGCTGAGTAGACGCTGCGAGGGTTAGGCCCTGTTTGTTTTTAGATAGAAGCGAGTTGGACGATCAGTTGGACGATCAGTTGGTCGACCAGTTGGACGATCAGTTGGTCGACCAGTTGGACGATCAGTTGGTCGATCAGTTGGACAATCAGTTGGTTGACCAGTTGGTCGATCAGTTGGTCGACCAGTTGGACGATCAGTTGGTCAACCAGTTGGACGATCAGTTGGATGATCAGTTGGACGATCAGTTGGACGATCAGTTGGTCGACCAGTTGGTCGATCAGTTGGTCGACCAGTTGGTCGATCAGTTGGTCGACCAGTTGGTCGATCAGTTGGACGATCAGTTGGTCGATCAGTTGGACGATCAGTTGGACGATCAGTTGGACGATCAGTTGGACGATCAGTTGGTCGACCAGGTGGTCGATCAGTGGGTCGACCAGTTGGTCGATCAGTTGGTTGATCAGTTGGTCGATCAGTTGGTCGATCAGTTGGACGATCAGTTGGTCGATCAGTTGGTCGATCAATTGGTCGATCAGTTGGTCGATCAGTTGGACGATAAGTTGCCCAACCAGTGTCCCGATTATATATATATATATTGCCCAACCAGTGTCCCGATTATATATATAAAAGTTAGTAGTCGTGTTAGTGACTCCATTTATAACCCAAGAACGGCTGAACCGATTTAGCTGAAAATTGGTAGGGAGGTAGTTTAGAACCAGGAAATTGCAATAGGATACTTTTTATCCCGTTCGACAGCATTCCCGTGGGACTTGACATGAAACGTCAGTCATTATAAACCGTGGAATAACAGAATTGACAGCTATGCAATTGACGTATAATGACAAATATGTAATGACGTATGGATGACAATTAGATATTTGTAAGAAATCTACTATATAAAAATAAAAATATTTAGGTAATGTGTTTGTAGTTTGAACTCTTAAAACCATTTAGTATTTGCGGGATAAATTTAGAAAATCATTGTTTTTCACATGGGCAGTTATATTTTGCGTGTTCACGAGTTTGGAAACCATATGCTTTATTTGTGTTAAAGTTAGACCAAAAAACAAAAAATGTGGTTTACAAAGGAGCATTTTAATGAAACGGATAATTTGCGGACACGTATAACGCTTCGATTCGGTATCTACTTTGGATTCACTTTCATTTACTTAGAGAAGTTCAACTAAATAACACTTCATTTTTATAATCGAAATGAATTCATTACTGTTGTGAAATGAAATAAAAATTTTCCTTTTCAAATATAAAACAAAAAAATCTTCATCTTTTAATCACCAAACGAAATGTTATATAAAAGCCTTCTGGTGGCGAAACGGAGTTCGCCAGGTTTACTAGTACATTATAAAAAATAAAAACACTAACAACGTGAGTATAAAAAAAATATTATTAGAATCATTCATCATCAATCTATCAGAGCCCAGTGCTGAGCAAAGGCCTCTTCTCACATGGAGAAAGTTTGAGCATTAATCACCACGCTTGCTCAAGACGGGTTGACGATTTTAAACTTATAATTTGAAATTTTAAATCCAGGTTTACTCATGATATTTTCTGTCACCGTCTTTCAGTTGTGTCTAAATACTCTAAGAAAGTACATATGACTCGGAAATATCATATTGGTACTTGCCAGGTTTCGAACCCGCACCCTCATGTACGAGAGGCGGGCCCTTACCGTCTAGACCATCACGATCTTATTATTAGAATGTATGCACATAATCTATACCTATTTTATATTATATTTTAAGACATGTTTTGACGAACAAATAAACAACTTACTCAACAAAAGTCATTTGCAACTTTTATGGAAAATTTCCAAGCGCTTGAAAAAGATAATAAATATTTGCATTGTTCCCTAATGAGAAAGTCCATAAGAAATTTAAAGATGATTTGATGGAGAAAATACTTGGCTTGCACTTTAACAAGCATAATTTTTAAAATTAAACTGGTATAGCCGGTAATAGCTGTCAATCTTTTTAACATTTCATAAGCAAATTGATTTATTTATAGGAAACTTTCTCTTGTTTCAGAATAAGTATTGTTTAGAGATTTTTGGTCATAAAATTGTCTCTGTAGATTAACCAAACCGAAAAGATTAATCTAGTAGAACAAACAGAAAGACTTTTTGGAAACTGGATGGAAGAATAATTTTTATTGTATTCAATAGATAGATAATTTAAAAACTTGCCTTATATCGCTTATTTCAATTCCAATTTACACTAAAAAAGACACAAATCCCTCCCAATACGGACCACAAATTAATAGGTGCAAGTCCAGAAAACCTCTTTTAAAACAGTATATGACACTTATGAAGTAATACATACATAGAAATGATAGGATTTTATGGTTGATGAACTGCTAAAGAAAACTTCCCAAGAGTATTATAAATTTGTTGATCAAGCGACAAGTTACAAAGTAGTCGATGTAAGCAATGTATTAAAATAAAAAGGAGAGAGCATAACCATCACTTAATGATATCTTTGGTTTTTTGCAGTACTGAGAAGCTCTGATTTTTAACAGGTCGGTCCATGATCATGGTTGCAAAAGATCGATCAAGTAAATCGAACGTGGAGTAAAATATAAAACGAAACAATAAATACGCCTTGTATATTGAAAAATCATAGTTTCATTAAAAATACTTCCGTTTTGACATATACAAAAAGGAAAAATACGGAAAGAAAAAAAGAAAGATAGATACAGAAAGGAAAAAATTCCGAGGCAATTAAAACTTTATTTTCTGAATTTAACTTAGAAGTTATCTGTCATTTGGAATCCCTTCTTGAAATATATATAATAAATTGCAAAATGTCAAGACCATTTCGAGTTTTCAAACTGCATCCAGAAAAGTGCGCTAGAAATTAAGAAATCCTTGGCGTTACATTACTAAATAAAAGCTAACTAATACCAGTTGATTTTTTTTCTTCTATGAAGTTACCACAACGTTTTATGATTAGTAGTTATGTATATGTTTCCAGAGTATCACAAAATGCTAACGGCACTTTTTACTTAATTTAATACGAACAAGGTATTATAGATATACGTCCGATGTTAAAAAGTATAAGAAATATAAATGTATAGCTTATACAATTTGAAAAAACATACATCAGCTGACCAAAAATCAAACTCTCATATCATTATGATAGTTTAATATACGTACAAACTTCTTGGACTTTAATTTCCTTAGCAGTTTTTTTTTATTTAATTCCAATAACTAGATGTGTTATTAACTATACAACATGTGTTTTAAAGTTAAGAAAGTTTAATTAAACAATGAATATAAGAAAAAATTTAAATTGTTTTTCAGATGTACATTCGAAATATATTACACCGTTGTCCTGGAATTTGCAAAATATATATGCTGATTCGACCAACTTCAAAAAATTCAGAGCAAAAAATCGTCTTGAGGATATGATTAAAAACTCCGTATGATGCTAAAGATTATAGTTTTTATTAAGAATAATATGAATTAAGAGACTAACTTTAATTGAAAAATATAATTAAACTAATTTGATTGATATCGCTAAAAAGTAGAAGGAATATTTACTTATATATGCGACAGTTCTAATCATGAAGAAGTAAATAATTGAGATTTGGCCTGACAAAAGTTTTTTTTCTAACAGATGAACCTGTTTGAAGGACTGAATGAAAATCTTTTTATGAAATTAGTTGCGATTGAAGGTGATGTTACTGCTCCAAATTTAGGCATTCATGCTGAAAAAAAAAGAATGCTACAAGAACAGGTACACAAATAGTGACTTCTTATATTCAAAGTCGAGTTAATTAGTAGTATTATTTCTAACCTGCCAATTAATTTAAGGTGTCCATCATTGTACATACAGCTGCTACAATAGATATAAATGCAACGTTACGAGATGCCTACCATGTAAATGTAACTGGTACAGAAAACCTTCTTGCGGTCGCCAAAGATATGAAGAAATTACAGGTAACGATAAAACTTTTGTAGAATTTTTTTTTAATGTATTAAACGTCTGTAAAATTAAATTTGTTAAAAAGGTTTAAGGGTATTCATTTTCTTTCTCAGGTAATACTTTCGATTTAAAGTTATTTTTGAAGCACAATGAAATCTCTGTAATATAAAAGGATATACCCAATATATGTATATACGCCTGGAGTGTCAAATATATGCACTTTACATACAGAACATGTCTACTTACATCGTCGTCTGTTTGAAACCTGTTACTTATTCTTTCAGGCTTTTTTACACTTATCAACTTTTTATTGCTGTATGACAGATGAAAAAACCACTATTGAAGAAAAGTTGTATTCCCCACCATTGTATGTAAAAGATGTTCCAAAAGTACTAGAGAAATATGGGCATATGCGATTTCCTCCCCAAAGTGTTTTGGGTAATAAACGAAATACGTATATATTCACAAAGGCAATTTCGGAATACTTAGTAAGCTCAACTCATGGTGACATACCTACTGCAATTATAAGGCCTTCTTTAAGTAAGAATTTTTGTAGCGTTTTAACATTAAGTTACTGTACAATAGATCTGTTTAATTATAATAAATATATGCAACAGGTCTTTAGAGCATATTTGCTATCAAAAGTCTGTTACTACATGTTGTAATATGTATTTTAGCCATTTACCGAACTATGTCCTAAGATCATTCATATGCTTTTTTTACAGTTGGGTGTAGTAAAAAAGATCCCTACAAGGGATGGATGGATGTTTTTAATATCCACTCATCTATTCTGACCGCAATTTCAAATGGTCTTCTTCGACTATTAAGTATTAACAAAAATACTGTTTGGGATTTTATACCAGTTGATTATGTTGCGAATCTAATGATTTTAGCAGCCACCAAATGTAAAAAGTAAGAACATGGCGTATATAAAATGACATTATTCTGATTTAACCCAAATATTTTCAATATTAATAAGTAATCGGTTGTTGAGAAAAGGTACAACTATTTTGGTAGTTTTAAACACTAAGTACAAAGAAAAATAGTTAAGAAATAGTCTAAAAAAATTGTACGCGCTTAGATATATTAATATTAAAATTTTTCAGATCAACTGAAGTAGATATTTACAACTGTGCTTCTAGCGGCATTAACCCAGTGACGATTTCATCAGCTGCTTCTATATTTATATCAGATTTCGTAACTAACAAAAAGAGTAAGTATAAAGAAATACTTTGTCTTTTAAATACGTTTTGTCTTATAAATAGATTTTTGCGATTTTAAAAAGGTCGCAGAAAATAAATTTCTTTAAATTATTGAATGGATCGTGACTGATTGTTATTAATAAATTTGTTGGCAAATAAAATTGAACCCCTTAATAATTCCACACTATTCTAAAAAAAGTTCTAATATTCTTGTCTTTAAGGAATTAAAATTGTAAGTATCAAGAAACATACATTCAGGTAAACTGTTTCAATCCTTCACTGTGCTCATGGGGACGTAGAAAGATGTTAAATTTTTCCAGCTTTAAAGATCCAAAAGGAAAAAGAGCACGTCGTTTCCGTACTATTGTCCGATGTTCAAAAGGGAGTGCAGTAATTAAGTCAATTCAATCGTGCAATTCCGGCCACACTCTCCAAAGTCAATAAAACATAGAGTTGCATTTCTATTGAAAGACAGTTGAGAAACTCTTGAGTTGTTTGCCAATGGATCCAATAAACAGCTATTAATAATTAATTACTCTTAATTCACGGTCTTTCAGAAAATCAGAAGTCGGAAAATATGCCATAATAATAAAACTTACATAAAAATAATGCTTAAAATTTCCGTTTTTTCTTCCCAATTCTATATTAAGTATGTATGTCCCCGATAAGAAATCTAGAATTTAATATTTTTATATTTGATACTTTTAGATGAAATTCCTGTTCCATTTGTATTATATTTGGAAAGCAAATTACTCAGAAGATTGTTAAATCCCTTTTTACATTTAATACCGGCCTATATAAATGATATAAGATGTATATTGACTGGAAGAAAGGCAAAGTAAGTGTGGTTCAATAAATTTTTATTTGAATTTAAAATTTTGGTCATTTATATAATATTATTTTCAGTTCTGTAAAAAGTATACGAAAATTGTTAAAAATTAAAGACCAAATAATATTTTTTGGTGGTCATTCTTGGAAAGCTAAGTCGGATCACGTTACGTCACTCATAAATTCATTGAGCGTTGACGATAGAAAGAAATTTCCCTGTGATCCATTGGACATAAATTGGGTTGAATACTTCAGGGAATACAGCAAAGGTGCCAGAAACTATTTATCCAAAAATAAAAATAAAAAAAATTGATGCTATTTATTTATTTTTGTGATTATAAAAAAGATGTGTTGTTATAAATTAATACAGCAATTTGTAATACAAATAATTTGTTACCAAATATAAATATTTTTACAATTAAAAAAAAATGGCGACTTGTGTTGAAGTTGTTGGTCTCTACAAGAATTCTGAAACGTCAATAGTTGTTATTTATTTGTAGATATCAGAAATATAAAGTGTTGGATTTTTTTAATACTATGTTATTAAAGCTGTGAGTAAATTTAATTATTTTTAAATACAGTGAAGAACTGTTTAGTTTCTAAATTGTACATTGTAAATATAAGTTTTGATAAATGTATGCAACATTTGTTCAATTTTGCATATACGATTAAAAAAATTAAACACATGTACCTATCTTTATTTTACAATATACCTTAATGTTACTTTTTTTCATCTCTAAAATTCACTTATGGAACTTATCTACATATATACAAAAGTATCTACAAATAATTTCCGTAAAGCAGTGAATTGTAAGAACTTATACATATTTATTTTACTTTTTAATAATAACATTATTACTTATTTTGATCCTAAAAGTAATAATTATTTGTGAGTTTACGTTGAATGACCTGTATGAAATTAATGAATCTTTTTACATTTTTTAATATCTTTTACTCCTAAACGTTTAAATTTGGGTTTACAAAGGACCGATAAAAACAGTTTTAAGTTTATAAATGACGTCTGTGTTATCATTTTTCAGTACTATATTGGCATAATCATTTGTTTGGTAACATATCGTTGAAACGAAGTATATACAATCATTTGAATTTTCACCCTTATTGACTTATAATATAATTATTACAAATTATTTGTTTTAAAAAGTCATCCCGTTATTCCCCAATACTGCACTGATTGTATAGACAAGTAACATGACATTTCTTTATTCTTTAAAAACGTTTAAATCAAACAAATAGAACATCAAATAGTGAAGAAAATAAAGTATCCACAATAAAATAAAATATCTCCAATTAAAGGTGTTTTAGAATACCCATGTAGTATGTATAATCTTGTTTTTTACTCACAACATAAACAGTTTTGAAACCATTTTGCTTTTTTGGAGTATAAATGATAAGTATGTCGAAATATAATAACCATTTTAAAATATTGTATGGAAAATGTAATGTACTAGTATTGAATTCTTATTCTATATGAATAAAAAATATTAATTGCGGATATATTTTTTAAGGAGCCTGGTCTTTTTTGTAATTAGCACAAAAAATCTATAAAATGTTTAATTTTTGGTTAATGTAATTTTGTTGTATAATCATAATATAAAATTGAAATATTAATTCCTTTATATTCTTACATTAATTTACAAAACTAAGAAGTACGTGAGAATAGCTTAAAAAAACATTACATCATGGTTTAAAATGTCGCTGTGTTATTATTATTGATTAAATTTTTTATTACTTTAATCGGATAAGTACTAACATGAACCCATAGGATATTTTTTAAAGTCATTTTTACCTTAACCTTTTGAATTGGTGGGTAACGATATTTAGTTACGTAATCTTTTTTCCTCAATAGTTTAATACATTTTAAACTTTTGGAATTTAATTTTTAGAAAGGACCACCAAAAAATTGTAATTGTTTTACGAATATATGATCTCATATATATCTCTTTTTAAATTTTGTCTCTACAATTATACAAGCAAGGACCAACGTATTTGTAAATTGCTTTCAAAAAAAATTCCCTGAGTTTCAGCTTGATTCAAAGGGTAAAATAATGTTATTTTGATTTATCAACGAGCTCGAATGTAGGGTTATTTTTTTTTACAAATATGATCATTTGACATATTTGAATTTGATATTGAAGATAAACGAAACCATGTGTTGTGTTGTTATATTATAATTACAGCAAAACCCAACATTTGTTTTATCAATCCGCAGTCCCAATAATAAACCAATAAATTGAATGTTTCCAGACTGATCATTTGATGCTCTTTATTTTAATAACGTATATAATATATTAACAAACCATGTTTTGTCTTCATTGGTTATTAGACTTTTATTGCCTATTTTATGAATTAAGACAATGTTTCGAATAGCCTGCCAATATTATTTTTTATCACAATTATGATATGAATTTTTAAGTCGGATTCAGACGGATACACTGTTTCATTTTTAACCCTATTAGGGACCTGTGACCATTGTCTATTCAAATATTATGTATCGATATATTGTCTATGTGATCATGATCTTTACAGTGAAAGATAAATATAGTGCTACAAGTCAGCAAATGCTTCATTTCTATGTATGTCCCTCATAATTGTCAGCAGCTTTATTTTTCTACGAAGATTCGTTGCCTCGTTTGGACGTGAATCACACCCATGATTCATTAGCAAATTTGATCATATTGAAAAACACAAGCATTTTTAGTATCTGTCCTGGAAAGATGCTTGAAACCGTAAAGCTCCGAATGTTATTTCCAAACAGAAAGAAGTTTTATCTTGAACGTATTAGCTGTTATAAAGTCAAATTCTCCGAAAATTTTCTGGTTGTAGCCTTCTAATCCCTAGTCAGAGCTATCAAGACAATTTCTTACCAAACCACACTGCCACACTACCTAAACCTGATGGGACATTACCCGATACAGCGCCAAAAAACTAGTTTACCTTTTCTAAAATACTCATCTTAGAAACGATAATCTCATACTTTACTGCTGTTCCTCTAAGACAAAGGTCCTTATTAAAGACCAATGGTAAAAGTGGTCGCAATTTCCCATCAAGTCTTGAAAGACTTTGAAAAGACTCTGGCACGATATCCTGATAAATAAGTATTTTAGTTATGCCCCTACCTGATAGCAGAGGCATCTGATTTTCTAGGGGACTTTGTGAATAGTTGTTTAAAATTGCTATTCTGAGCTAAGGTCGGTCACTGCAGAGTATTCTCTGGTGTCTGTTCTATTCGTTACTCTAATCTTACTGAATATTTATGTATAAGAAGAGGATTTCACATTTGTGGATTAGTATCAATCACAGTCTCGAGCAAACAGAACTTGAACAGAGCGGCCCGAAAGTTGTTATACAAAAGATTAGACACGACGAGTTAACGCTCACTATACGATTTTTTTAATTTCGTTAACTTCTTGGCAACCAGAAAAAACCTCGTTCAACGTGTCTCGTGGAAGCAACACGTCGGGAGTATATCTTGAAATCTTAGTTTTTATTAATTATAATTGTGTGATTATAAATTTACTTTAATTACCACGAAAAATTTAAAGCTGTTTTAATGTAAATGGGACCTAATAACGGAATAAATTTTGCAAAATCTAATTATAAAATTATTTAACAAATAATTGAGAATCAAGAAAACTAGACGATTAAAAAAAAGACGACTAAAACGAAATTATTTATGAGCTACTTATGATAAAATAAAATTAAAAATAAAGGGTTTGTAGTCGCACAAAAGAGACGTAATTATTAAAAAGAATGCTCGGAAAATTAAACTGTTCTCTGTTTATGCCTTTAGGTCATAGCTTTTTATTCTACTGATTTTATTTCTCTCCATTTTTAATATTTAAATGAATTTTAAACTTCACATTTTTTGTTGTTTCATCGGAATAAAATATTTGTTAATAGATATCAAACTTCTTAAATAAAATAAAACTCTAAATAGCAGACGGGGTCCCTGATGTGCTGTAAGTGACGTCCGGTGACGATATTTAAGTGTAAATATATTTCCACTAATATTATCAATTTTGTGATTAAAGCTATTTGCTATTATTTATGAAACATTATAGTTTTATATTTATAGTTTCAAGTTGAAACATATAAGAAGCTGTTATATTTAAGAACCTGTTAAATTGTCAAAATTTTGAATAATTTTTATGTTAATGCGATATATACTTTTTAAAATAATAATTGATCAAGGTCACTATTGTAATATGATATTTATTTATGTGAATAAAATATGTTTACTGATATTCTTTTACATATTTACTCACATTACAACAAGAAACTTAAGCAGCAATAGAAATACCTTGGAAAATTTATAAATTACGTTATGTGAATCACTGAGACCTTTTTCACATGTATTATGACTGGGACCAGTTCACCTAAGACTCTCTGGGGTTATTTTTTAGCTTGCTGATTTTTCCACATTAGGTATTGAAGTGAAACCTCTATATTGATCCTATTATCCCATTTCAATAAGGGACTTTGGTTGAAGAAGTTAAAATTTACATGGTCACCTCTCCACATACAAACCATTTATTCCACCCTTGCAACCATGAGAAGTGGCTCAACGATATAAATAAAACAAGCTATAAGGTTTAGACCTGACGCGATTTTATTCTTATTGTGCTTCTCTTAACTCTTTATAACTTTAATAAGGAACGAAGCAAGGATTCACAACACTCCATATGCCCTAACTCACGTTTTCAGCTGCAAATCTTTTCGAATCTTCATGATTATATTTTTTAGCCCTACCAAATTTATTTTGACAAAGTTATACAATGAACAATAAGTTTGCTATTATCAAAACTTCACAAAATGTCGTTAACTCTAGAGTAAAAATACTATAAAAATATAAATATTTCACTTCCTTTCTACTTTAACATGCACTTGAAATAAACTTCACATAAACATGTTATTTAATTTAAACAAAACTATACAAAAAGCTGATATACTCCGTACGTTGTTATTATATAATTTATACAAATGGTCTTGTAACAATATTTGATTATGAAGTATTTCCGCCTTTGAACTTAGATAACCTGTTTATATTAAACGTAATATTGTTCGGTTCACACTTAGTACACATCAAAGCAGTCGTGTTTAAAACAATGAATAGTAAATGTCATATTATGGAAATTTTAATATTATTTACGAGTGTAATGTTAATTTTTAATGTAAGCGGATTTGTTTTAAATTACGACGACGACGACGACGAAATTTTTGATATGTTATTATATGATAACCATCCTCCTGTTGAGTTTGATGATAAGATGGATACGTCAAACGATGAAGGTCAGCTGTTTTGGACTTCAATATTCATTACTATCGATTTTATTTATATTTATGATAATTTATCACGTTGAGACCTATTTTATTACGAGTTGTTGGGAAGTGTTTAGTTTATTGATTGTAATTTTTAAGATTATTATTCATCTCCAGTCTTCTCGTTAGTGTATCAGAAATGAAAATTTAATTTAATTGTTATAAATATAGCATTAACAGTTACATTTCCATGACTCACACTAGATTGGACAGAAAATTTAATATTTATCAGGAACAGCAGAAAAAAATAATCAAAAACGAAAATTATAATGAACTTTGTAAACTACTATTCGGTTCGTTTATTTTATAATTTATTTAACTATTTATTAAAATTTATATTTGTATAATTTATACACATATTTATGTATACTATGACTTTTCTTCTATCATATTATTTATTTTTCACTATATTAATATTTATAGAATGACGTAACTATTTGCGGGAAAACTTTATATTGCAACTGGATCAGTCATAAATAAATTATTTTATATTTTTATTTAATAAGCATCTATTATAATGACTGCAAAATTTTATGTTGTATATTTGTATTTAAACCAAAATGTATTATGTGTAATAAGTTCTAAGCTATATTTACAATAATATATTTAGTAGAGGGGATTTCGTGTTGTCCCTTGCTTTAATACATTAACACTTACTATTATATGTTCCACTTACCTTTTATCTGTCTTAAACCTTAATACGATTGTAAAAGTAAACAACAGAATATAATCTTTATTGTCAGGACAACAACCTATATTTTCCAATGGCGTTTGGCTGTGTGGTAATTGTTCAGACATAAATGAAGCAAATATTATATATAATGAATCCTATGACGTTGAAACCTCAAATGATGAAATGGAATTACAGGTGAGTAAAATGATGGCGTAACATTAATTGCTAAATAAAGAAAGGCTTCCATTTATATAATGAAAATAATATATTTTCCAGATTGGGTTCGCAATGGATAGTATGCGATGCATTAAAATTAAAACTGATGAAGACAGCAAAGTCGCACGTGCTAGCGGTGCATGTACAAGTGAGACGGTTTCCATAACAGTGGTCCATGTAAATCATTGTGACATATGGATTTATAGTTAATTATATATGTATTACATATAATACGAATGAAGCATGATTCGGATCGTATCAACTTGTAAAATCAGAAGTTCTAAATATTTATAGATTGTGTTATGTCAACACTTTTGAATGAAAGAGAGATTCCTTAAGAATATAAGTATTCTACACATGAATATATGTAATATCAGAAATTAAAGATAAAAACTTAGTAAAATAGGTTTTCAATGAAAATTTTTGTTATAAATTTTCATTAAATGTATAAAGAAGTTCACGAAAATTTGTTAATTTTAATTAAAATCATTCTGAATTTAGGAATACATGGGATATGACGATAGAAATGAAATGAATTTTTATTTAACTGTTTGTTATTGATTTGTAATTGAAAAAAAATATTTAACAAATTATAATATTTAGTATACAAATGTATTTGATGAATTTTATTAATGTTTTATTGTAAAAAGGTACAAAACATAATTATTCTAAGTTACGACTGTTATATGGTGTTAATTTATGAAAAGAACAGAAAAGGTTTAAGATATTCTCAGATAGTTGTTTAAATGATTCGAGTTCCGAGTAACGATTTTTACCATCAAACGAAACTTTTTATTTTCTATTAACACATATTTTTATGTTTCATATGAACAAACTTGTTGATTAACATCATGTAATTTGTAAGCTTTATTGCATACACGTTGAGATTTCTAGCTTAGAAAAATAATCTTAAATTTCACCAATCCAAAGTAAATTAGTTTTTTTAATATTAAGCATGAAATTATGGGCAAAATGCATGCATTAAACTTATTTATTTATGGACAAAAATTGTAATCATTTTCAAGTCCATTCTGAGCACCATGAACAGAAAAATTAGGTAACGTGTGTCTTAGAATCCAAATGGGAGTATATTATTCATTTTCTTCATTTGTTACTCTGGGCTGTATAGCTGTCACAATGATATGTATTGAAAATTAATAATACAGAGTATATATTTAAATAATAATTTAAAAAGTGAAATTGGCAAAATATTGTTGTTATACCTTTTTTTAAATGAAACTATTTCCGGTATTTCCGGATTTTACATCGCGTTTTTATTTTTGGCGATTTTTATTTTTCCCGATGTTTCGGCTACTTTTCAGCAACCATGATCACGGGCAGACGAGATGTGAGTGTCTGTCAGTTGGTCTGCTCATTTTATCACCTACGGCCATCGATTTCTTAATCTTTTGGCGTACCGCTCTGGATGCCGGCAGAATATGCTTACGATGTCTCGAGGTCCTGCGGTGTGGTCACGGACTCGGGATTATATATTTTTAAGAAGAGGATCCCAGGTGTTTGATAGGTTCCAGCCATCTTCTCCATTGAAATTTGGGTATTTTTTAATTTCAATAGCCTCGCGGATTAATCTTGGATTAATCTTATATACCTTTTTTTCTTAGATAAGATTAAGTGTGGGCATGAAATATTTTTAAAATACCAATATACTTTTATTTATACTAATATATTAAGCCTACAAACAATGGAATTTTATTAAAGCTTTTTAAGTACAAACACATGATTAATATTTAGGAATTTTGATTAGAGTCTATTTAAAGTTTTCGATGTAAACCTTTTAGAGAGAAAGGTTTTTATACGAAAGTAATATTTTTTATATATTTCTCAGAAGCGTTCCATAGAAGTATAATAAAAATAATAAAGCAAAAGCTATATCATTAAACAAAATACATTTATTCTTGTATTTCCATAGAGAAATCGTTACATAAAGCACAGTTTCTGAAAAACGGAACTTAGTAAAAACATGTTATATATTTAATTGCAATTCCTTTCATTATTAACACGAGCTACATACATTCAAGCGATAAAGGTTTTGATATCAAAAATTAGTATTATGTCTTACTTTCTCATAATAGAGTTAGAAGTGTCGTATGTAGGAGCCAAGTAAAAGTGCAACCGTGGTTAACAAATGAAAATTCGAAATCATTAATTGCTTTACGATAGCCAATAATAGGTAAGTATATTGTATTAGAAAATGTTCTCAGTTAATAACAATGGAGTTTAAAAACTGTTAATGATACAAAACGACAATAATATTGTGTCTAATAACAACTTACAAAGGGCTTTGAAATAACTCAAAAAGAGATTTAATTTTTATAAACCTTGCATTATATTATTAATAGATTCTATTATTTTAAACTTTCAGAAATACTCACAATAAAACATAAATAATTAGATCTAAGACTATCGCAAGGATTCATTGAAATGGAACAAATTTATGTTTCGGATCCATACTTCATATCTCGTCTGCCCCTGATCACGATTGCTGAAAAGGAAACGAAACGAATTTGTTAAGAACTTTTGTTTTGGTTATAAATTAAAAATTTCTTGCCCTTTCTTATGTTTGTCATCAGCCTATCAGAGCCCACTGCTGAGCAAGGCCTCTTTTTCACATGGAGAAGGTTTGAGCATTAATCACCACGCTTGCTCAAGACGGGTTGGTGATTTCAAACCTATAATTGTGACACTATTATTCCAGGTTTCCTCACGATGTTTTCCTTCACCGTATGTCAGTGATGTCTAAATACTCTCAGAAAGTACATATGACTTCGAAAAATCACATTGGTACTTGCCAGGTTTGAACCCGCGCCCTCGGCAACGAGAGGCGGGCCCCTTAACCACTAGGCCACCACTGACTTATGTTTATTATTAATTAAATGTTTAGTTTGTCTGTCATGAAATGAAAACTAGTAACAATTAATAACAGTCTTTGCATTAACAAAGGACGTTAACTGTTTATGCTTAACCTCAAGGTCTTTTCTGAAACAAAGGTTGTATCAAATTTTAACTTGCAGTATAATATCTACAATATAGTTTCGTTATTGTCAAGGGTTAAATATTGAGACGAAATTTGACTACGTTTTATAATAATCCTAAGAAAATTTCGTTTATGTTCAGATAACAATTTCCTGACCAACATTCAGTGAAAATGTTACATTCCTATGTTTATACATATATTTAAAGGTCTCTTATACCGACGAACCAACCTCTGCTTAAACAGAATTGTTTAGAAACTATATAAAATAGTTATCTGTCAGTTGGTTTTATTATGACAAATGATTTTGCTTTAATGTCTAAACAGCAATACAAACAAGCCTTATGATGAATTTACGTATACTGGCTTTAAGCATCATCTTCTATTCTTTTTTTTTTTATGTGAAAGCTGGCAAACGAGCAGACGGCCCACTTGATGGAAGGTGGTTACCGTCGCCCATGGACATGGCAATGCATCCGCAACATAGATGTTGCGGATGCATTGCCAATCTTGTTTTGTAGGGATAGGGAGGGGTGGGAATAAGGAAATGGTAGGAAAGGGTGGGAATAGGGAAAGGGCAACCGGCTCTCTCACTCATCGGACGAAACGCAGCCATTAAAGGCTACGTCACGCCGATCTTCTGTGAGAGGGTGGTACTTCCCCGGTCGAGCCAGCTCATGTTCAAGCTGTAGTAACTGACTACAGCTAGGCTCTACCACCTCTAAATCCTCTATTCAGTCTTTTTATCCGTTTTTGGGTTAAACTTTTACTTAAAGCGGTATATCTATTGCGCAGATATATTAATTGATCTTCTAAGCAACACACAAAACTGTTTGAAATAGCGCAAACTATGACTAAAATAAATTGTTTTATTAACATATTGACGTTTTTATAACTATACATTTTTAATTAGTTGTACAGATAACGATGTGCATAGAAACATATTTTGTGACTATAAAAATACATTCAACGTTAGCTTTAGTTGAAAATAACAATTTGATATGAGGTTAAACATTTTAGGATACACTTATAAGTTTAAACCATAAATTTAAAGTACCAATCCAAAGCTTAGGTTAGCAATAGCTACAGAATTTAATCAAGCTGATATCAACACAATTTATTGTTGTTCAATAAAAGGATTTATTAATCTTGCTATACTAACGGTACATAATAAATAACATTTAGAAATCGCAGTGAAATATTGTGAGAAATAAACAAACAGCGGAACCGCAGAAGAGCGGTAACATTAATTAAGCGTGGTATCTCTGTCTACATCAGTTCCGTTGAAATAAATCAGCACTTTTTGAATTTAAAATTATATACAAAGCAATTTTCTAATAAATCTATTATATACAAGCAACGATTTAACAATGGTAGATGTAGAAAAATTATGAAATAAATATAGGGAAATATTATTTTTAAAAATAGTTAAATTTTAATGTTTTTATCCCATAATTTTTTTAGTTTTTATTATATTAAAATTTAAGGTCTGAGTGCAATGTTAAAATAAAATAAAAAGCAGCTACTGTGCTTATGTTTCTTTTTCCTTTTGTTATTTTCTTTTCATGAATTCAATAATATTGAATATAAAATTGTATTTCAATTTACAAAGAAAAGTATTAAATGATTTTTGATTAAAAAAACATCAATAATACATTATAATTGTGTATAGATGCTGTGAATGATGAAGGTCTGACGAAGGATAGCAAAATTAACACTTGATTACTTCAAGACAGATCTGTTATTTCGCCCTGTCTGTCATAGTTTACCCTTTTTATGCTCCAAAAGATAATATTAATTCAAGTTGAAAAAATTATTTATATATAATTTAAAGCAAATTAAATCTATAAGATGTTGGTTTATTGTATTTGAGATGGGCAGTTTTAAAATATTTTTAAAGATAATACTATAATTTCCTCTTTTTTTTCATTTTATTCGACGTATGACACTCTCACCTTTGATGAGTTTTTATCCTTCGAGACCGTGATTAAGATTGATGAAAAATGTTTGAAATATCAGGTAAATTCTCAAAGTCCTAGATTGATTTTAAATGTGCATGCGCGAAAACCTTAGATATCATTATTTGTGCAGATATAAGATATTACCTTGACATTGTAGTCCTGCGCCACCTGCCTTTCATTTTATATTGGAAATATTTGTTAAAACGTCATAATATAGATGTAATATCAAAGAAAAAATTAAAAACAATTGATGCTTATATTATTAAAATATTCTGCTGCTATGTAACAATCGTTCTAAAAATTTCGACAATTTATTTCGCAGATATTTATATAAATGAATTTATCTGTTTGTTCATCATAAATAGTTATAGAACACAGCATAAAAGATATATGATAAAGTTATAACCATACAAAAATTCAAAATAAATAAATTAATAAACATAGGTTAAATAAACAAACAGCTGATATCAAATCATTACTTTCCACATTTAGAAGAAGGGAAATAAATCAAATTTTTAAGCTAAATTTAATTCTAGATTCCTTGTGCTTGTTATCGTTATATTTTCTTTGAAGTGTCATACTTGAACTTCATTTCCCTCACGGATGGACGGAATCAAATCCTATAGTATTAAATAAACTATTATCTACTAGTCTTTTGGCTCTAAAAATAATGATAAGTCCAATCAAAAGTATTAAATAAATCTTATTAGAAGCAGATAAAGTTGCGGAAGTGGTAGCGATTATAATACAATATAAGTATATATTAATTGAAATTATATATACAATATTATCTCCTAAATATTTCAATGGAAATATTATATATTAATGAAAATATTTCTGTCTACTTATCAATGATCTTATAGTAAAACATTAAGGAATACATACATAGTATTTGTTTGTTCTTACTAAGCTTCATCCTTATTAAAAGTTTTTGTCATGTAGTAAATATTTATATATATTATTTATATATGGTTAATAATTTTATATATGAAGATGTATGAATGCAAGATTCGAAAGGCCTCGTATGTGTTCCTGCTATGAGAATTTGTTGTTTTAGAAATTGTATGTAAAAATCATTTAATAGAATACAGATTATATGGTGTCTAAAATATTTTCAGACTTTGATACAGTTTATTTTTAATTTTTTAATCTAAATATACAAATATAGTTTTAGATAACATATGTTTAAATATATTAATTGTTATAATTTATATATTAATTGCTATAGTAACCAGTAAATTAAACAGGCTTATACCGTAACATATTATATATAATAAAAAATCATGGATGAACAGTTTTTATTACGGCAACAGGATCCAAAACAATAACTTCACTGTCTGGATATTTATGAACAAAAAAGGCAAAAATGAATCGTCACACTAAAGGAAAATTTTGTTGGAAAATATAAAATGGATAAATATAAATACACATAAACACACATACATATATTATAATAAAAATACACACACATATAAACAAATACACAAAAAGAAGTTGACATCAAATTTATCACACTTTTTTGCGTCGCGTAACCCTCATTACATTTTTTACTACAACTTCATGTAATTAACCTTTTAAAGGGTTAACCATGTTTATAGATAATTCTATCTATGTTTAACAAAATAATGGACATTGGACAATTTAAACTGATTCATGACAAGGATAGTCCGGCTTAGGGTAACTTCAAATGGTTTCCCGAATTGTCTGTTAGGAGATACCATCTTATCTTAGGTCAAAGAGAATTTAATATAGAATATTATTTCAATATTAAGTGGTTTCATAAATTAATAAAAGAGTAATAATTTTAATAAATACAAACAAACAGTATGCTAACGACACTTAATTATAATTTTACCTTGAATTTTTTACGACAAACAATTTGCAGCTGCCAGAGTTATAAGCATAAGTAATTTATAAAGTAATGGGTTTATAATTTTAATCCAAACTTATAACCCCCATCATTCTATTATTGAGTCAACGTACGTACATTAAAAACATTGTTATTTTATTATTACTGTACCTACACCAACTATGTGATTTAAAACTATATTAATTTGACTAAAACGTTTGTTGAGACCATTTTAAAAACATGATTATCACATAATTATGTAATAAGGATATATATCTGAAAATAACGTATCTCCAATGAGATTATATTGTACCATATCTTTATTATATTTATATTAATCATAAAAATCTTTTTAAATCCCGAACAGATATAAAATCAAAGATATATTCGATATCATATCCTGAAATGGTGCAGTAACACATATTTAATTCACATATCATAACTGTACTCTTATCAAAATACCATCCAACTTATGAAAAAATATTAAATTCATTTTAATAACTTTAGAACAAACTATTATGGAATCAATGGCTTTCACTACGTATTTCAAAACACTATCTATATTATTGCTGTAATACTTCCTTCTTAACGATAAATAGATAATTTTTATTTACTATCACGTAAACAAAACGTCTTTCGTTTTCCGTAACTTTTGTGGCATCTTGATTTATTTTAGCTCAAAATAAAGTCGCCGTATATAGACCAGTGTCGATAATTTTTAAAACCTAATAAATATAGAAGAAAAACCCATTAGAAAATAGTGGAATATTATAGAAATTAAAGCAACAATGATCTAGTGGTGATTTGTGGTTGGGAAGGGTGTAGGGGTGGGTATTTAAGGATAAAAACCGATTTTTCTCAATGTCCAGCATAACTGATAGTCTTACGGAAAATAATTATATGGCAAAGCTGTAGGTAATAAAAAGATCAAAAACTTTTCTATTTACACTTTTTTCACATAACTTCAAAATGTCTGTGAAAAATTTAAAAAATCAAGTTGTTGGTTTTTTATTTTCATCTTTAAAAAATATATATTTTGTCATGAAATTTAACGGGTATTTACCTTTTTTGGCCCCCCAATTCACAATAATTGTTATGATTACAAATATTGATTTTTTCAGCTTATTTTGAATTTATATCGAAAAAGCAGCCACATTTCCAATCGACAAATTCAAATATCAAGTTTTGTATGATTTCTGTTTATTGAAATCTCTACATATATACATGTTACTATAGCAAATCTTCGCAAAAAATGGGAAAGATCGCAAAACTCTACTTTTGCTTCCTTAGTGTAATATTCTGAATTTAATTTAAATTAAAACCTAAACCTAATTTAAATAAAAAAAAATATTAATTGCTTATTATATTTATGTCATAGAAATCTCATTATATATTAATATAAATGTGAATCGTTCTTTCAAATGTAGATACATTACTCTGATTACATTATTCATTACAATATTTTTAAACACATTAATCTTATCATTCATAAATACTTTATCTTCTTATTCACTTATCCATTATTTTTTTGTCTTTTTGATGGCATTTCTTCAACTTTAGATTCGACAAACCCCTCTTTATTCTAGTAGATCCTCGAAATCTTCATAAGTATAGCCTTCTTCCACTCCAATATAAAATTTTCCAGACTGAGTTGATTCCTCATCCACAATTTCTTAAATTATCAAATCATTAACTTCCTCGTAGCTTTTTTATTCTACAATATAGAAGCAATTTACTGAACTATGATAATTTGTTCATTTCTTAGTGGTTTTACATCCTGAGCGACCCTTTTTTTTCAGTTCTTTTGATACAAAAAATTTTGTGATACATACATACATTGTGATAATCTCCTTTTCAATTCAATCAGGCACATTTTTTAAACGAACTGATTTATTAAAATCGAAATCCTTATTAATGTGGATTGTTTTTGAATATACTGTAGTATATTGTCTCTTGTATCTTTGCTAGGAACAGATTTTTTTTAAATGTTACGAAAAATCCACGGATTTAACATTAAATCTACAAATTTCTCTAATTATTTATTTTTTCCTTTTTTTTGTCTTGAACTATAAAATGTAGTTAGTACAGTGGCATCATTATATTGACTTTACAACTTCGATTTTTTGCATTTTCTGAGAAGATATACTATTGAAACATATTTTTTTCATCATCAAAAAGTAGAGATTTCAACGAACAGAAAACATACCAAGTTTTTGAAAAAAGCCGATATATTGACGGGTGATTTTTCGTTTGAAAATGAGGTTAGTTTTTTAATATGTATTTATTCAAAATAAGCTAAATAAATAAATATTTCTAATCAAGTAGATTACACTATATTTGGGAGATCAAATGGAAAGTTTTCACGAAATTTCGTGACAATTTATTTGTAAATAGAGAAGATTTAGATCTTTTATTACCTACAACTTTGCCACATATTTTTTTCCGTAGGACTTTTAGTTTTGCCGGTAATCAATAAAAACCGTTGTTACCCTTAAATACCTACCCCATTACCCTTCCCGACCTCAGATCGCCCGTAAATTATTTTTCCTTTAATTTCTATAATATTTCTCTCCTTTTCTAATGGGTTTTATTCCACTATTTTTTCACTTTTTATTAATTTTGAAGGCTTCTATCCTGACTTAAAAGCTATTTGGAATAAAACAATATTTATATTATTCAAATTAAAATTAATCTCTTACGCTAATTGATAATTATCAATAACTAACAATGATAGGATAACTTTATCTCTCCACGAAATTATATCGTGATAATTATGGTTAAAATAAAGCAATTAATTATTACTATACAAATTTTCCAAAAATATGTATAACATCCAAAATTGTAAAGATAACTGATAAATTAATTGTTTGCTATTATATATTGTCGCAAACATTACAAATGGCAAAATCAGCCAATGTTTTACAAGTCGAAGACTAAATATGACACTTGTGACTCGGTATGTAGATGAAAATAAATAGAAAGCTAGATATTTCAGAATAAAACCCGAATAAATAATGTGTCATTACTTAAGTATTAGCAAGTTTAACAAATTAAAACTAAAATTTAAATTCTAAAATTACTAGTTTGAATAATATCGTAAAACACACACACACTTAAAAATTCTCAAACCTTTGTTATTGTTTCACCTTTAACCACGATTGTTTGTTCGTAATTCCAATTTCTCATGTTATATGAAGATAAAAATCAGAAGTACACTGCTCCATTCATTAAGTAGGACGTCACACGATATGATAAAGATCACAATTCATTTATAGTTATCGAATGATAGCTTGATAGATTATTAAGTTAAAACACAGATAATGATTAAAGTTTTTTCACATTTTTCCTTAAATCTTCTAATAAATGTAAAAACTAAAAAGTATTATAAGTTTCAATAAACTGACTTTCGTTAACACTTAAAATATCCGCACAGAACTTTCAAACACTGAAGTGAATTAAAAAAAACTATCATCATTTATTTATATATATAAAATAAATTTTTGTTAGTTACACTATTTATAACTCAAGAACGGATGTACGCATGTGGTAGAAAACTGGTGGGGGGATAGCTTAGAACCAGGAGATGGACAGAAAATACTTAATTCTGTTCGATCGAAAAGAAAAAAGAAACCAAATAAATTCCAACATCTGGTTATATATGGTCTTTAGTGCAGAATAGAGTTCATTGGGTTAGCTATACATATGTATATTACTAATGCCGAAATTAACGCGGACGAAGTTGCGGGCAAAAACTAGTGAGATATGTTTACTAACAGTGTTTTTCTCTGTCCATCTTAATGCTTTAAGTGGGATATTTCAATTACAATATTTTTACATCTATCAGAAAGAGCTAAAAAATATTAATATATTAAAAAAGATTCAACAAAGTAATACGAAATAAGCGAAAATATTACAAAATAAACAAAAATATATATTGTTTAATTACATGACTATTATACTTAATAAACTTATAAAGAGAAGTTAAACAGTAGGCTTTTAATAGCTAGTTTTATTTCCTACTTATCATTTCACTAAGTTTCACTGCTTACTAAGTTGTATTAAAATTTTAAGTTAGTAATTTTCAACAAAGATACGATTAACATAGTTACAGAGTATAAATGTTATGATATTTTATATATTCTCAATGGCAACACATTGAAAAATAGGGCATTAACTAAATCAGTATTAGGGGTAAACATTAAATATAACAATGAATGTAATGATTTTTATACTACAATTAGTGTTTTTTTTCTCATATATTATCAATAAGACTTTCTTTTTGACGTATTTACCGAAATAAATCATTAAAGTTAATAAAAAAATAATAGGCCTAATCAAGGAAGTAAAGTAAATAAAAAAAAGTGAATTGGGACTTTGTTTTGCTCGGTTAATATAAATATATAAGTATTTTAAATATTCCCCTACATAAATACGGAACATATAATTTGAATATTATTAAACATAATCAGAATACTTTGATTTCATCTTAATTACAACGTAATCAATTTATCGATAATTATAAGTGATAAATACGACAGAACGCTTGATTTAAATTCTAATTATCCGTTAGAGCCTGGCTCTTGTATATTGTGTTTTTGATTGATACCCTACGGTAAGAATCCTTTCTTTACATATATATTTAAGATTATTTTGTTTTAACAAACGTGATAATTATAACTTATATTAAAAATCTTTAAAGATTTTCATACTACATTTTTAACTAGGAAGGAATGTACTTTGTTGGTTTTACATATGTTCATGTTATATGTACACATGTGTCTTTATATTCTTATACATATATAAAATTCTCGTTTCGCGGCGTTAGACAGAGAACTCCTCCGTAAGCGCTGCACCGATTTTGATCAAATTTTGTTAGCATATTGAGTAGGACTAAGAATCGGCCAACATCTATTTTTCATACTCCAAAGTCATGATGGTTGTTCACCCTTAATTTCTTTTTTATTTTCAGACGAAATTTTTTGTTTTTTTTTTTAGAATGTAGCATTAAAAAATACATACAGCCCAATATTTTAACTTCTTTTATCAACAACCCATTTTTTACATGGCCGGATCAGCTAGGTATATACACACAAATACCAACGACATTTACCGACACAATGTTTAATATTTACTTTTTTCAAACGATCTTGATCGTGAAGGATATTACTTTTCTTTATGCATGGAACACTCTTTGGATCCTGGGAAATGTGTCTTCCTCTTTATTTCATCATTAAATCCATTACACAAGAAATAAAACATTTTGTAAAAAAACTGTTTACCCATAATAAACTCAATAAATAAACCTAAGAGAAAAAATCTACTGATATTTTTATAATTAATTAGTATTGAATGGTTTAAAAATTTTTATATAGTTATTTATTTTTATTGATTATTATCAATCATTCAGTTGAATATTTTATAACAATCAATAGATTTAAATCTTGATACGATACACGTGACTTAGCATGATGTATCAATGAAATCTGTTTTTACTATCTTATCTCTGAAATAGTTAAATTGATTTAATAAGATAAGTTTCTTATTTTACATTTAAGTGAAGAAAAAAAAATCGACTTTGTGATGCAGTTTTTAAAACCGGTTATGTTCATTAGGTTATATAAGTTAGAGCAAAATATTACTATCGTAACAGAAATTTGCATAAATTATAATTTTATTGCATTGTAAGCTTTACGATAATTTTCTGGAAATAATTTTAGAAACGTTTTAATTTTGCGTGCGAGAACCGTCTTTGATTAAATATAAATGTAAGCATAATTTCATCTATGATTAGCTTTTCTTTTCAACAGTTTTCTTAAACGTCTGGGTTACTTATATTCTAAAATATTGTAAAAGAATTAAATGTATTAAAGAATTAACTAGTTAGTATTAAATTATATTGTTATCAAAGATATCGTTTTTATAAAATATGTTTTAATTACACACATGAAAATAATATTGCATTACCAGAAAAATGAGACATTTTTTTATATTATTATTCGCCTTTTTACTTTTATTTGAATATTATGTTTACTATAACTTGTAAGAAGAGAAATACAATTTATTATAACATTTCATTATATTTATTATAAAAAAATATATTACATTTTGATACTGTTAATAATATAATGAATATAAATTTTAAACGTATATACAATAGTGATTTTTATAAACAATAACATATGTATATATATTTTCATTCCTTCCTTTATTTTTGCATTAAAATTTTATTTTATACATTTTATTATTCTTCTCTTAGATGAACAAAATGGTACCGATGTCGAACTACACACCTGTTTCTGATTTTTACAACGGCAAAACAATCTTCGTTACGGGCGGGACGGGTTTCCTGGGAAAGGTATATTATATTTTATATATGAAATATTTTGTTTTTATGATCGTAACTGAATAATTAGGAGTATATTCTAAATAAAATATTTCTATTTAATTACAGGTATTAATAGAGAAACTTTTATACAGCTGCCCTGGCATAAATAAAATTTATATGCTTGTACGTGAAAAGAGAAACTTGTCCGCAACAGATAGGATGAAAAAGTTCTTCGATTGTCCAGTGAGTTTGAGATTCTTTTATTTTTCTGATTTTTATTTCTTCTTAAAATTTACAAATTAGTTTTATTTAGTTTCGTCTTTATTAACTAAAAATATTTTTAGGTTTTCGACAGACTCAAAAAGGAGAAACCAGAAAATTTGAAAAAATTGAAACCTGTTAATGGTGACTTATCTCAACCTTGCCTTGGTATTGACGCGAAGGAATTACAAGTAATTAAAGATGAGGTATGGGAATTTTTTTGGCTTTATTTGGTGATGTTGAATTTTTTGTGCCAATTATTAAAAATTTTAATTGCAATTAATAAACAATAAAAAAGTTACTAACAATAATTGAGATATAAAATGGGCATAAGTCCTTAAAGCCTATAACATAACAGGTTTTTTATAAAAGGAAATAATATTTTAAGGTTACTATTGTATTTCACCTCGCTGCAACTGTGAAGTTCAATGAGCCACTGTCCATAGCCATGAAAATCAACGTCGAAGGAACTGAACAAGTTATTGACTTATGTCACAATTTAAAGAAAATAGAGGTTAGTACTTTTGAAGCTATTTACTTTCATAAATTTTATTTTCGATTTATCTTTTGTTGCAGTTTCAATATAACTTTTCTAATTTTTAGAGTTTTTGTCATTGGATTATTTTTTCATTGAGTTATGGTTTTTGTGAAGTAGTTTGTTCGTAAAATCGATTACGGCTTTTGGTTATATTTAGCCTTTTCCTTAAAAAGTTCAAACCCGCGATTCTTCCACCAGTTCCAAGGCCCAAGTGACAGTGATTTATTGTGAACATACATTTTATTTCTTCGGTCCTTGTTACATAATGTCTGTATTCCTAAGACAAAGTTTGATAATGTGCAGTTACGTGCTCTTATAAAAATATTTTGATATAGTTAAAAAACTGACATTTTTGTCCACGTGTGAGATAATTATCCCGGACAAAGTTTACTAAAAATGCTTCTGAAGTCCAAAAAATTATCAAACGGTGGGCTTCTTAAAAGTTTTGGAGATTGTTTGAACACGATCACCAAAATGATATGTTTCATCTGAAAATCTACTAAGTTTCCAAATGTTTAAATTAGCTCTCTCCCCAAAAGAATCAATGGGCAAATTCAGTTCCTCTGCCAGTAACCATTGGCAAAATTTACCGAGCATGATTGCTGCCACAGAACAATCATTTCTCAATCTCAATTACCTATAGCTATAAGTGGTCCTAAAACAAAAATACATTACATAGTTTCCACAAATATAATTTTGTATTCCTCAACATGCTTCTTTGATATACCAGTCATTCTGAATGTTATACAAGACGCTGAAGATTGATGACATACAAATATGCTTATGCTGTTGAAACAAATTTACCCTGACACATTTGACTATCTTGATAAGAAGCATTACCGATTAATTAACTAAACAATTAGTTGTTAGTATTTCAAAACATACACCGAAATTAGATTCCTTAGAATATCACAAATATAAGAAAGCACAAGCTACTACTAAATTAGGACAAAATCTTTATTTTTTTTCCTGAAGTTAAATTTGTCTGTGTTCAAAAGAACAGATAAGTACATAATATACACTCAATAATAAACAATAAACATACGCATTGCATGTTATCAATATTACAACAATAAACTAAATTTATCTTAAATTTTTGTTACAACAAACAATGGAAAGATTTTTAATTAATACCCAATAATCACAGTAAAAAACCTTCAGCAACAATATGAAATAATATTTTTAATCATAAAACTAGTTTTTGCCCGCGACTTCGTCCGCGTTAATTTCGTCATTAGTAATATAGGTATAGCTGAAAGGGCAAACTCTATTCCGTCTTCAATAACCCGGTAGTCGTATTTATTAAATTTCTACTACTTCAATCGAACAGAATGATTGACATATTAGTTAATTGTCAAGTCTAATGTCAAAAAATCGTTTGTATGGGAAATAGAAAAGGGCTGTTTTTAGGGTTTTTCCGGCAATTTTTCCAATTTTTCTCACCTTTCAAACCTTTCCTGGAATTCCAGGAGTATTTCAAGACTAAAATTAGCCAAATCGGTTCAGCCGTTCTCGAGTTTTAGCGAGACTAAGGAACAGCAATCCATTTTTATATATATAGAAGATTACATTACGGTGATATACGTAACTTTTGGGTATATTTAAAATATTGTTATGATCATGAACCATGTTTTTTGATCATTTCGCTAAACTTTTGCCTTTGAACTTTCTGATATTATTAATGTCTGTTGTAACTTATCTAATAAACATATGTTTCTCTTTTTTAGGTGTTCGTATATATGTCAACAATATTTTCAAACACAGACGATAAATTGAATTCCGTAGAAGAAAGACTATACCGCAGTCCAAAAGAGCTCGATGAAATTTACAAAATGATAAGAGAAAATGATCCCAGAGAAGTTTTCAATCCGGAAGTTTTGGGTAAGAATAATTAATTTACTAAGAATCATTATTTTTTTATAAGAATATAAATTCATTTATAGCATTAATTGTAGTACTTTTAACCTTATTCAAAATGCAAAATAGGTAATTTGTATTATATCTTTTTGAAAATATTAATTTTTTGTTATTATAAAACTAAATAAATGTCCAAGGTGAATTATGCAAACCTTGATTATATAAAATATAAAATTAGGAGGATTGCATCCTAATGAATAAAAGAATAAATGTTTTTGGAATAATAAAATAATATGACATATAGATGCTTAAAAATACGTACGGCTTTTAAAATAAATATTACTTTTCAGATGGTCGCCCAAACACATATACTTTCACTAAGGCAGTAGCTGAAAATATCGTGGCACAAAAACGTGGCAATATTCCAACAATTATGATTCGTCCCTCAGTTGGTTAGTTGACGGAATAATATTTTGATAAAGAATAGCAAAGTATTGGAAATTTTAATTATTTTTTGTTTATAGTTACACCAGCTAAAGATGAGCCAGTGAGAGGTTGGGTAGCCAATTGGATGGGGCCAACTGCAACGCTTTTATATCTATCCAGAGGATGGATCAGGGCACACTACGGAGAACACGACTTCACATTCGAAATTATACCAGTCGACTATGTCGTCAACCTTACTATAATTTCTGCTGCTAAATTTAAAAGGTAAATAATAATGCTTCATTAAAATAATTAATCACGAAATACTGAAACTTTAAGGAAAGCGTCTCGTCTCCCTTATATATTCATCCCCTAATGTACCCTTATTTTATCGTTTTACGAGTATGTTCTCTTTAAATTCATCAGCAAAGCAAGGAGAATTATGATTATCTAAGAAAAGGGTGTTGCACCATTACTTTCATATCTGTCCAATGGCGAAAACTCCGACGAGTCCATCTAATCACCAAGTAGGGGATTGACTTACCTTTAGCTTTTTCTATCGAGAGTGCCATTCTTACTCCTTCACGTTTCAAAAAGAGACCCACTTTTAGAAACATGACCCGTCCATTATCTCTTGAACCATGAAAACCTGCACGTTCCGTTAATTTCTGATCTGCTTATTTATGAATATATTACGTTAGGAGATTTCTAACATACCACAGAAAGTAGAGTGAATATAAGCCGTCACATAAGGTCCATAGTGAATATTTTTATATTTTGGTGTCCATAGTATATTATTCATACACTTTCCGAAGAATAAGATTTTCTTATATAACAGATGTGTCACGAGAATATAAACCGGAATCTTCTGAGAACTGGCAAATCGAATTGCATTTGATGACTTATCTCAAAAGACATGCTTTCAATTCGAAAGGCTTCCACTGTTTATGTTCGGCCATATGATATACCTTTATTATACTGGTTATGTTGCCAAATCTGATAAAATGGAATAGCATTTAGTTCAGGTTTTAAAGAAAATTTGATGTTTTTATCTACAGATATTCACTGGCTAGTCGAAAATAGGCAACCTTATTAATTAGGGATCGAATCACGACAGGTTTTGCATGAAGATCCTTTCATGGGGAGAATAGGAATAAAAATTATTACACTAAGCGAAAACAAACACAACTGTGTGTTTATTTCTTATTTGTTCTGAATGTTATTTTATTCAATAATTATATTTTGTATCAAATAAAAATGTATTCATAGCATTTTAAATTTTTAAATGTGTTTTCAGGTCAGATGATATTCCAATATATCATTCATGTACCAGTGCTCTTCATCCCGTGACTTTTAAAGAAACTGCTTCTTATTTAATTAAAGAAAGTACCAAGAAAAAATTAAGTAAGCAAAAAATTACTTTACTCATTTATTTGATTTTTCTCATTCACTTAATAATATTCCGTTTTGTTATTTTGCTGTCCATTAAGTCTTATTATTCCAATTACTTAGAAATTAATGTGTTAATTTATATTTCAGTTGACATACCTTTCCCTTGGATAACATTTACACGATCAACATGGCTTCTCGGTCTTATAGCCTTCTTTATGCAGCTGCTGCCAGCTTATATAGCAGATTTATATTTATTTATTTGTGGACATCCAACAAGGTATTTGAACAAACATCCATTTATATATGAAAATAAAATAATTATTTAACAAAAGGTTATAAAGTTAAAAACCACTTCTACGTATAAAGAAGAAATTTACTAAGTTCTCAAAATACTTTATTACAGATAACGGAATGCTCATTAGCCCTCCAAAAATATATATTTTAAACTATTTTTTTTTATAATCCAGGTACGTCAAAATGTTGAAAAAGTACAATCAAAATATGTCTGCACTTCATTACTTTTCGTCAAGAACATGGTACATGACAGCGAATCGTTCACAAGCCCTGATAGACACACTAAGTGATGAAGACCAAAAGATATTCCCTTGCAGTCCAGCTAACATTGACTGGAGTGAATATATGGCAACATACTTACACGGAGTATATAGATTTTTATTAAAATAAGAATATCAAATACGATCTTACATTAGGAGCGATATGTTATATTAAAATAGATAGTTTTTTCGATCTAGGAACATATATGGATAGCTAGTCATAACTTAAATGGGACCGTTTTGTAAGCTCTATAAAAAAAAGGAATTTAAAGCAAACTTTGAAAAATAAACGTCGTAAGCAACGAGGCTATGAATCTGTATGTCAGCAATACTGTACTCTGTACTTTGTATTGATGGTCGTAAAAAGTGCAATATTTTTATATCAAAACCTACAGCAATATATAAACGATATGCATGTATTATATGTATATGTATAAAACATTAGGTACATGTCCCAAACCTAATATTATTCTAAATGTAAATAATATAAAAATTGTTTTAAGTTTATAAACAGAATTAATGTAAATATAAAATGTATATTAATTTGATAAAATAAATTAATAGAATTAAAGTGACATTTTACTCAATTCATTCTGCTTATTTGTTTATTTCTAAGTAACTAGAAATTTTCTTGATTGCTTATTTATTAAAAAGAAGGTTTCTAGTGTGTTTTGTTGTAAAGTTTTTAAAAGACGATATGATTCTACATAAACTGATATTTTTAGTATTTTTGACTATCGAAACAAAAACCAGACCTCAAAACTAATCTTAATTGCACAAATTTTAACTCAACAGTAAAATTAATATTGGATTTTTCTAAATAAGGAGACTTAAAGGATTTTCAACCGACTTTGGAACGTGGGCGGATTACGTTGATGGCTGTGACTAAATGAAAAAGTTATAAAATAATCCTATCCAAAAATAAATGTTTTTAAACTTTACATATAAAAAGTAACAATAATCTTGTTGATTGTCTTTTAAGACACTTGCTTAAAAACATACACTACTTCTAACATTTTAGTTTAATTTGTACATCTAGTTAGTAGTTTTTTATATATTTCAATTTTCGTTGGAAAGAATTTTAAAAATATTCATCATAAACTTTTTGTAATTGGTAATTCAATTAAAAACAAATGCGATGACCGCGAACTAATTATCTATAAACTAAAATATCTTAGAATACGATTCATTTTAAGGGGATCATCATTCATGTAATAATGTTTTTCCAAATTTTCTCAGAAATATGTGAACTAATCGAAAAGCAAATTATATAGAAGTTTTAGGTCAGTGAACTACGACCTAATAACAAAAGACTTCTATGTATACATATTTGGTGCAATAGTTTTGTAACAAATATACTTACAGGTCTTTCGGCCGCCATGAAAACATTCAGTAAGAAGCCAGTTAAAACAACGGTCTAAGAGATTTAAAAGATAATTCTTCTTGATTTTAACATTATGTTTAAGGTAATGTGACATATCTAATTGAGATTACTTTATTATTATAATTACATTATGTTTACTATTCAAATTAAGATTCAAGAGGCTTGTTGGTCGTACAGAGAAGATTTCGATTGAAGGTTCCCATTAAATAAAGCCCTTAAAGTCTCTTTAAACTTATAACCGTAGAGCTTGACTTCTCTTTGATCATGATATTTTTGAATTTTATCGTCGTTAGTGAAACACTTTTCATCACTGCTCGTCTGGAAAGATGAGCGAAGTAAAAGCAAATACGATGTACTCTTTGTAGAAAAACTTCGTGGTTTTTAATAAGCAATTTATTAAGGTTACTACATAAATATAAAAACTTATTGAAATTTAATTGCATCTCTATGCTTCTTCACTCGGTAATAATACATATATCATATAACGAGTCACGCCGCTGACTTCGCGGAACGAACAGCAAGCCGTGTGAATCAAAAGAAACCTAAGAACCTACCACTCCAGCAATGGAATGTTATTGCTATCCTAACATCGTGGCAATCATGTAGTCTTAGGTATAGGTTATGAGTTTTAATATGTAATTTTTTATTCTATTATAGGTACATATAAGTAAGCTTCGTAGTTTTTCTGAAACCTCCGGTTGCCACCTTACATGATTAGTTTGTATATATTTGTTATTGGATATACAACATGTTATATCAGATATATTATTTGGTACACTGATATGGTATATTCATAAAAATAAATATAATAACATATGTAGAGAGAGCATTTTATTTATTTTAATTTAATTTTGTACTACTTATATATTTTATGTATATATGTAGTTTTAATCTTAGTCAAATATAAATTGAAATCTTTATACAATTTATGTATTTATACATAATTAAATGAATAATATGTTCACCTGTTTATCACAGTTTTTGTTTACAAAATATGAACAATGATTATAAATTTGCAGTTTAGAACAATATTATAAGAGATCAAAGCTAAAGTAAAATTATGAATTTGTATGACGCCATATCAATATTGGACTACTTAAAGAACGGGGATTCCTGTCTTATTTTTAATCCTAAAGTTTATAATAAGAAGAAAATAAATATTAGTTTAAAAGTAAAACATTTATTACTTATAAATATAAAATATAAAAATAAAAATTATAAATAATATCACAAGCCTAGTAAAATTTTTAAATTAAACTGAACCTCCAACACAACCTTAGATCGTAGTTACGTAATTAAGTCAATATTTTATACTTATTTCACAATTAATCATCACGAACAATTACGAATTACTTTTTACATAAATATTGTCGTATTCCTTGGCAGTAGGTAGGGATATATTCATTCCAATTTATTTCGGTAGGGTTGAAAGGAAAGAGAATTCTATCTGACGATGACAAAGAATTCGCCAAAGCGATAGTTTGAGGTGCACGTATGGACCAGTTGTTCGATGTGAAGAATTCCAATGTATCACGAATAAATGATACTTTGGCCTGGATTTTTGTGTACCTGTAGAATAAAAGCAATGTTTGATATATTAACATTACGAATAAATTATTAAAAGGTTCTTATTATTGGACTGTGATGTTTAAACATTTAGTGTACCTTGTTTTCTTTCCTGTGAGTAATAAAAACAAGTCTGCTATATACGCTGGTATTGTTTGAAATAGCAGTGTCAGCAGTGTTACGACCCATTTATATTGTGTGAAGAATATTGTTGGCATTGGAACATCATCTATAAATTTATAAAGACATTAATAAAATTCTGAATTAACTATGGATGATTAATCATTTTCTTTGAAGGCATCACAAAATATTATAATTTTATGTCAAATAATATTGTTTTGTAAATGATTTTTTTTTAAATAATCAACAAAAGAAAAAAAAATAACTATAGATAATAACTACAGTTATGTTGTTTTTATAATGAATTTATACTCACTAAATTTATGTTTTTTACTGTCTGCAATTATTAATTTTGCGAGATGGCCCATTTTGATTGGATTGTTCCCACTCGTGCAACAGTTATAAACTTTAACATTTTTGGAGCTGTGGAGGTAAAAATCATTATTTAAAAAATTTATGGCTCGTAAACTTTTAATTGCTAAGATTCTAATGATTAAAAATAATATTATACAAAATTTTATCCTTTTAAGAATATATTAAGTTCATGAATGGTTTGACTTATTTTATTTAATATAACAAAATCATACCATTCGCATCTCGTAGCAGCCACTATCGTCAGATTGGAAACATAGTCCACTGGTATAAGGTCAAGTGCATTTTCAGAATCGGACAACATAACTCGGTTTAAGCCTTTTGATATTGTGGTCAATAACGCCGAGGCTCCGAACCAATTATCTATCCAACCGACTACTGGTTCCACTTTACTAGATGATACTTTGAAAAATAATGGTTATGTTAAAAAAAATATTCATATTTAAATATACATATTATTTTGAAATATTTTAATGTATTTACCAATAGATGGTCTGATGATGATCGCGGGAATATTTCCGTGGTTATCAGCAACTAGGTTTTCTGCCAAAGCTTTAGTGAATGTATACGTATTTGGTCGTCCCTCTGTAAAGAACGCTTACTTGTTATTTTCTGACTTCTAATATTGCTCAAGTATGTTTAAACAAAAGCAAATATATTAAATGTGGTGAAATTAAATTTTTATTTTTATTTCTATTTATTAATAATTATTGGTAATTATTATTTTTCTCTTACTTATAAGCTCCTTGACTTGTTCGTCTGTGATGCCAATCTCTAATAATTTTTTGACCTCATTTAGGGAGGCTGGAGGTGGGTATATTACTTCCTCGATAATTTTCCTGTCAGTGTTAGAGTACGTTGTAGATACATAGACGAAAGCCTGGAAAAGAATTTAAATTTTCAATGCCATGAATGTAAATACGTATCTTTTGATAATGATTATGAAATATTTTTAAGTTAAAAGAGGTCAATGCTACATAACAACAAGCTATATATGGGCAGCGAATATCAACAAAAACTGTTGATTTTACCTTAATATTTTTCATTTTTTGTGCCAAATTCAACACTCTTCCCGTCCCAGCTACATTAACATTCATAGCCACATCCAGCGGTTCATTGAACTTGATAGTAGCCGCAACGTGAAACACTATCGAAACCTTAAAATAACATTTAAGTGTCATAAAAATATGTTTTACAACTCAAATAACATTAATTACATTACAAACAAAATAAAACAAAAATATTTGTACAAGTAACTTGTTTCCATGAAATTATACACGAGGATATAACGACATCGTGATATTTATTTAGTATTGTCGTTTTAACTAAAATCAATACGAGATCATGAATATTACTTGTACAATAACTTATTCAAATTTACTTTTATAATGTTTTAAACATTAAACAATAATATGAAAATGAAATTACCTCTTCAGCCAGAAGCTGTTCATCTTCAGTTTTGATAGCGAGTTTCGGTTCGGAAATATCACCAGCAATCGGTAAAATTTTTTCTAGGGCCTCAGGTCTTTCTTCTTTCAATCTCGCAAACAACTGTTAAATGATAACATTATTCATTTTTAGATCAAATTTATAACATGTTTTTATAAACATTAAAAAATTTAATAACATTTCAAATAACTCACCGGTTCTTCTATAAGTTTCTGTATTCTTTGCTGTACTGTGCTATTTTGCTTTTCTCTTACTAATAGATATACTTTTTTGATTCCAGGACAGCTGTATAGTAACTTTTCTAAGAGCACCTTAAAAGATTCAGAATATAAACAAAATGTTATGTATGTCATTATCGTTTTCCTAAATAGCTGTTTAAACATACTTTTCCTAGGAATCCTGTGCCTCCAGTCATAAAAACAGACTGTCCCTCGTAGCATTCCGCTATATTCGGATACATGTTGCTCTACGTATGTAATAGCACCGTTGTCTGCAATAGAAGAAATATCATTAAGAAAATAATAATCTATCGCTATTTTAAAGAGAACTACACTTAAACAAATGATTATTTAATTTTCTATCCAATAAAGATAATATCTTTGGCTTAAAAACCTAACTATTTTTATATTAAGAAGCTCCAGTTATTCTTACAACTAAATTACTAGATATCATTCAAAAATTAATCGTTATAGATACTAATAGAATAACGGACTAAAATGAAGTAACTAAATTAATTAAACATTATATAGAAATATAATATCGTTATCTTTTACGAAAACATAGGTACATTAAATCTGACTATTACGAAATTGCATCGACATCAAATACTAATCTGATAAACAACAAAAAATTAATTGTTGTAATTGTTAATCATATGTCAAGGTCGAAGTAATAATAAAGACGAAAAGTAATTAATAATTATTATCTTCAACACATTAAGACAGGTGTGTAGTGATAAATATGTAAATTGTGTTTGTGTACGTTAAAACGAGACTAAAAAAGCGGTTACTATATTTTTTTATTGCTTTTAATTGTCCTGATAAAATAGCAAGTTAATTCCGAACCCATTTTCTCATCTAAAAAATTCATCAAAAATATTAACAAATAAGCATGACAAAGTGTAATGTATGCGTTAAACGATTTTTTTATCGTTATAGTAAATAAATTTTCAGAGTATCAAAACTAAAAGAAACATGTGAAAAATTTCTCTAGTGATTAAAGTAATCGTATGAAATTTTCAATGGAATCAAAAAAAGGAAAAATCTGTATCCTTCTCTAAAACCGCTTATGACACAATAATATAATTATTATTAAGATATCATATTATAACGAACTTTTTAATAATAAAAATAAAATAATAACATTTAATTCACAAGAAACAGATTTAAGCTCATGTTATTAAATTTGCTTTTACTTAAAATTATCACGATGTAAAAAGCATCAAATATATATACTGTTTCTAAATGTCTGAAGAAATATGGAAAAAAAAACAGATTATTTCACTTAACTCATTATCAAAACATCAAAACTTAAATAATATAAATCTAAATAAATAAATTAAATAAAACACAATTCACTAAATATTTTATATATAACAATTAATTTTAACCGTTTACTCACCCGCGTTGAGTTGTAGGCCCTAGTAGGTTATGACACGGAATGGCTTTATCGAAGTGGTGTGCTTGAATTTAATACTGAATTAAAGAGCTTAAATAGATAACCGTTCGATTAGCAACTGAAACGATTTTTAATTGAAATATCTCCTAAATATTTCACATCCGGTCTGCTATCTCTTTCCTGATATCATAAGATAAAACGTTACTGCTTTATTTATGTTTGAATAATAATCAGTATGTTGTTTAACAAAGCCGCATAGAGGATGGGTCTGAATCGTACAGTTCGCATGTACATAATAATCGAGGTACAGTTAATTTTCTGACTACTCACCTCCCCTGCTGGCTAAACCTGTTTTGACATTAGCCCGTATGTTAAAAAACACAACGCTTTTTTGCTTGTTTTTTCCTCTAAAATTCTCGGATTGACAATAACAAATGCTTGCCACTTAAGCAACGTAATTACAGTTCTTGTAAGACATTTTTTTTTTAATTTTAAATATATATCTATCTCAGTGCACGCTTGATTTAAGTTTATTATTCAGAATTGAGGCTGATGGTGCAAGGGCATACTATAAAAAAAATATTCTCAGTGATTGACATAATGAGGACTTTCACAAAATCGTCCCTTGGCGGAATATCTAGTGCTCGTCACATGTTTATGGATGAAAATTCTAGAGGATACAGTGAAGCTCTTACAGTTTCATTTGAGATCCCGAAATCTTAATTAATGTAATTTTTTTTGGGTAATCTACCTAGCTCGGGACCATTCGCTTGGACTGTTTGAATTCTTACCATCTCAGAAGTCATGCTCTAGACATATCTCAGTTAATGGTGATAGGCCAGGATTTCCTTACGAGTTTATCCTCTTTGTTAATATATTTTCACTGCAAATATATCTGCTACTACTAACTACTTTTGGTTGCTCAAACAACTAAAAAAAAAGTATTATTAAGTTCATAATTTAAAGAATTAAATAAATGCTACTGTTTTATTTTTTATTACAATGTAAAACGTAAATATTCATAAGTTTTGCAAATGTATGTCTTTCCACTTTAATTATGATAAGATACTTAAACATACTTTTCCTAATTTAAAATATAGAAAAATATTCTAGATAGAGAATGGTAATATAATTCATGACAATATTAAACTTTAAAAATATGTATATTTTAAGAAGATTATTATAATGGGAAGAGCATCCTCATTTAAAGAATTTATAAGCCGGTACAGTGTTTAAATTCTGTAAGAAAAAAATCATTATTATTCTTTAAAAATATATATTCTTAGAGAATTTAAATTACAATGGAATATTGAAATGAAACTTCGCTAGACAAATATTTTAATCACTTATTAGTTCACTGTTTTAATGACTATTATTTGTGTCTATGACTATATGTATTGAAAGAAATTTAGATTTTAAAGAGAGGAAAATAAAATAATTAATAAATCTATAAAAAATACATACAATATTGTAAAGTTATTTGCGGTAAAATTTCAACATGTATCATTTGTTGTTAAGTAGCAGTTTCGTCGACTGAATTTTGTTATAAAAATAATCTACAACTTTCAAGCTCATCTGAAAAAGAAAGGTAATGGTTTTGGTAGCATATGAAAGCGACTAATTTAATTTATAAACAATTCAATCATTTATATATTTATACTCTTATTTACTTTTTTACTAGATAATTATTTTTGTATCTACAAATATATGTATGTAGGTATACAATAATTAAGCTACTTAATTACGTTAATGACAAACATGCATCGCATGCCAACTAATGGGGTTGGGTAATCGAACGAAGAAAAGTTACAAGTTACATTATTTTACATAGTGATTGTTACAAAGTTGCAATCAATAGAAAGATTTAACTTCATTTTAGATAGAAATCATATACTATAAATTTTCATGTATATATATGTATAAAGATCGACGTCTCGCTTCTCGACTTATTTTTTATTCTATAATTATAAATAACAAGTTTGACGGTACAATATACCTTTCACATCTAAGAATAAAAATAAATATGGACGAAGGCTGCAATCAATAGCCACGTATGTAGTATAATATGCAATTTTTTAAATTAGAATTCATTCTTTTCATTATGTATGGTTATAAATGCGTTAATTATACCGCTTACATTAACATTTTTTTCTTATACCATTGCTGTGAATACATTAAAATTAAAATTTAGATAATGTAATTTAATACATAAGAATTAAATTATTCACCCACCCAGATTTAAAGCACATAATATTTAGAAAATATTTAGGTTTTCAAATTTGATTCGACTTTATAATTGATCTTCTAAAGGCATACAGAGACTTTACAAATAACTGAAATGTAATAATTCGAATAGGATACTTAATAATAAACAAAATTAATAAAATTTGTACTACTCAAACAACTAGCATGACGAACACTTTAGTAAACAATGTGTGCACAAATGTGAAGAACAACTCATGCAGTCTATAATAGAATCAGGATCACCCGATTACAAATATTTGTCCTAGGGAGGTGGCTTAACACTGCAGGACTATGAGAAATCTCAATACAAAGCACTCGATTACACAAAACTATATAACACGATTTTAGTAACAGGCTATAAACATGAAACAACGACAATGTGTACCTAGAGAATTTTATCCTACAACATGTAGACATGAATAGGATAGATAAGAGAAAGTTTGTAAACCACTCAGAAAAGGACTGGATTAATCGTTAAATTGAGGAACAACTTATGATATGATGATGATATCTAAATAAATCCCACCCAGAAGATGAAAACATTCGGAAAAATAGAACTGGAGAATAGGGCCGAGTGAAAAAAATAATTAAATTTTGCAAGGAAACCTACGGGCACAACAAAATAACCACATCATACCACCACGACACCAGCTATATAATATATACATACATATACTACATAAATACATACATATAATTAAACGAATTGACAACAGCACCACACACGAAATATTAAAAATCAATGATTTTGACTGCAACTGTGGGAAATGGCATAAGCACCAAAAACAGCATCTGATACAAAAAATCACTCAAAATTACTTTAAAAAATTAGGAAACATTGGTGTCCTAGGCACGCTCCTAGAAAGGTAGAGATCAAAACTAAATAATTGAACACAAGTACATATTTAAAATAGATCAATTAATCAAAACGGTATCATGCGGCTGTCTTCAAGTTTCAACATTAAGTCCATTGGTTATCTTAATCTCCAGTAAAAATATTATGTTAAAAAAACATATGGAGAGCACTTACGATTATAAACGACGAGATATTTCTACGATCTGACCATAAGAAATACCTTGGACTTTGGGTAAATACACACTGACTCATACTTACATGGAAAGTGCACAACGACCGGATTAAAACAATATTTTTATTACTGCTAAGAGTATTAGGTAAAGTTAATAACTGTACACCAAAAACAGTAATAAAAATCACATATATTTCAAATTTTACAAATTTGGGAATTCTGTTTCATTGCCACTATCACAAACCAACAAACACTTTATATAATAAACCAAAATTTTTAAATCCGTCCCAACTATACTTATTGTATAACACCTGCTTACTATAGAAAAATATTTACAAAATGTATTCAATTAAACATACAACTACATAAGAAAGAAGTCACACGTATTTTAAGACTCAACAACAAATTACAAATAAGAGCTTCTCGTACAAACTGGCAAAAGACCTTATTATTCGAAGGAGCACAGTTGTACAATAAATTACCTAAAGACGTTAAGAACTTCGAAAGTATTAATATGTACATACATTCAAAGGTCAATTTAAAGCTTAAGTCCATATACTTTACGTTCTCT